GATCAGGACAGGTATCTGATGTTACTGTATATAATATAAAAGTGATCATACATGAAACACCTGAGATCAGGACAGGTATCTGATGTTACTGTATATAAAAGTGATCATACATGAAACCCCTGGGATCAGGACAGGTATCTGATGTTACTGTATATAATATAAAAGTGATCATACATGTAACCCCTGGGATCAGGACAGGTATCTGATGTTACTGTATATAATATAAAAGTGATCATACATGTAACCCCTGGGATCAGGACAGGTATCTGATGTTACTGTATATAAAAGTGATCATACATGAAACCCCTGGGATCAGGACAGGTATCTGATGTTACTGTATATAAAAGTGATCATACATGAAACCCCTGGGATCAGGACAGGTATCTGATGTTACTGTATATAATATAAAAGTGATCATACATGAAACACCTGGGATCAGGACAGGTATCTGATGTTACTGTATATAATATAAAAGTGATCATACATGAAACCCCTGGCATCAGGACAGGTATCTGATGTTAACTAATATAAAAGTAATTATACATGAAACCCCTGGCATCAGGACAGGTATCTGATGCTACTGTATATGATATATAAAGTATTTGACACAAAAGCCATAGGATCGGGACAGGTATCTTAAGTTATAACAGTATTAATGTAATCTGAGAGGTATCTTAAGTTAATTTGTTTAATATAACATACTGACTTCACATGAAACACCTGCGATCAGGACAGCTATTTAGTACTGCATATAAAAGGCATTTGACACGAAACCCCTGCGAATACGTACAGGTATCTGAATCTAACGGCTGTTTTCACAATCTGCGCATGATCCGTGACCTATGCAAATTCACAGATAGGCCACGCCCACCCGATGACGTAGTAGCGGTTACGCTGTACTGAAACCCCTGGAAAAAAGTGCCTGCCGTTCTGATACAGCAGACTAGTCCAGTAAAAAAAAAAAGACAGAAGAAAAGCATTAATAAAGCTGAGCATTAATAATGTTTAAAAGTCAAGGGTCGAGATTCCAACTAAAGCAAACACTATTCACCAAAATATTAAGTAAAATGATGCAAACTAAACATATAATTTTCATTAAAAACATCTGTATTTGTCTAGAAGAAATAAAGCTAAACAGGTTTGGATTATATCAAGAGTTCAGATGCAAAAGCATTTCTATCAGGCTCCTATAAATAGGTTCAGAAGTTTCATTTTTAGGCAATGAAATTAGCTAGTTAGCTAGATAATAGTTACCTAGCTAGATATTAGCTATTAGCTAGTAAATAAAATACCCTTTTTAAAATGTTACTTTAGACAATTCTTTGGTTTTTAACAAGGTCGATTTTCTTTTGCGTCAAAAGTAGCTAATTCCACCAGTGTTTTTTATGCAAAACCCTCTAAATTCACCTATTGGGACAAGACAGTGTAATTAGTTGGAAAATCGCTAAAGATGCAATTAGAAATTATTTTACCAAACATAAAACCCATTACACAAACCTTCTGAAATTTAAAATAAATAAATTTGACAAGATGCGGTTCATTCCGCTGTAACAAACCAGGGGAAAAGCAGAGGAAAAAATTGAATAAATGAAATCTGTCAAGTAAGTGCATTAATCAATAACATTAAAACTGACTTTAATTAAATCTTAACAATCTGTTGTCATTACTAATATTTATGTTTAGATTTAATGTAGAGCAGTGTAAACATTGCAAACATTGTAAACTAAGTTTGATAGATTCAAATAATATAGTGTAAAAACATTATGAAACATCAATATCTGTGCATTGTCCATAAAAAAGCTTATCAGACGTGAAGGTAATATAAAGTCATTTAAATAATGTATAGTTTTATACACTATATTTATCTTTTAAAAATAGCCTACATTAGCAAATAAAACACAAGGTAGGCCTACTGGGCTTAAAGGGGATGCCTCTCAGACAATATTAGAAGCTGTCATTCATTCCTTCTCACCATACTTAAGGTCTTGGTCTCTTGTTTATCTTCATAGCATTCAAATGGCATAAAAGAATGGCATCTTAAATCTGTCTTTTGTGAAACGCAGTTGCCATTTAATGTATAGTAACTTGAACTCATTCAAAGTAGCGTCGCTGTGCAAAAAAGTTTTATGAATGTATGTTACACTTTCGACTGTACATTGTGTTTTCTTTTTCTTATAATGCACAGAGTTTTGAGGTAAGGGACTTTTTCATTTGCCATTTACTAACAGTCGGACAGTCTCATCCAGTTCAAACTCTGTCTTTTAAAATCAAAAGCGGAATAAAACAGTCTCCTCATAAAGGCCGGCGTATCAGTTGAAAACATGATTCGATTCCCGCTCTCTGGTTGGGTCTCGGGATATAGTGGCTTTTGCAGTCAAAGGCAAGTGGCGTTTAGCAGCTTTTGCCAACAAACTGTTTTTTCTAAATGGGCTGACGCTGGCATTTAGATGATTAGAAGCAAATATATTTGTTGATGGTGTATTACGTGCCTAAAGCGTTCACTCAATGTCATTATCTCATTTTGGCGGAAGTGGCGTTTAGCGGCTTTTGCATCTAAACTCTTCATATATTCCATAATATTTCAGCCAATTTCATCTTAGGCTATGATCCAAATTCTGAGTAAATGTTGAAATTACTGAAGTGATTTTTATGTGTTTTATGTATGTAATGATATTGTTATATACAGTTGAAGTCAGAATTATTAGCCTCCCTTTATTTTATTTTATTTTTTTAAATATTTCCCAAATGATGTTTAGAAAAGCAAATAAATTTTCACAGTTTGTCTAATATTTTTTTTTTCTTACAAAGAAATTCTTATTTGTTTTATTTCGTTTAAAAAGCAGCTATTACTTTTTCAAACATAATTTTAAGGACAAAATTATTAGCCCCTTTAAGCTATATTTTTTTCATAGTCTACAAAACAAACCATCGTTATACAATGACTTGCCTAATTACCCTAACCTGCCTGATTAACTTAATTAATCTAGTTAAGCCTTTAAATGTCACTTTAGGCTGTATAGAAGTGTCTTGAAAAATATGTAGTAAAATATTATGTACTGTCATCATGGTAAAGATAAAATAAACCAGTTATTAGAAATGAGTTAGTAAAACTATTATGTTTAGAAATGTGTTTTTTTTCTCCATTAAACAGAAATTGGGGACAAAAAATAAACAGGGGGGTAAAAATTCAGGGGGGCTAATAATTATGACTTAATCTGTATTTGTTTGGGATTTAAAGGGTTTCTGTCTGTGTTGTGGGTTATCACTCTGCCTGTATGCCTTATGTTATGCTGCCTTTTAAAGGTAACAGCCAGTGTGAATCTGTTTGCTAATTTCAACTGCACATGCTCTGTCTTGAACCAATGGTAGTTTTAAGTTTTTTACCAGCTAAAGCAAAACTTTTTCCAGAAATTTCACCTTGGTGAGCTGTTGCAAACTCCAAAAACTGCGATTCTAACAAACTGATTTCGTTTAAAAACATAATTTGTATCAAACATTTCCAACTTACTGTTCAGGTAAGACTGCAGTCTGAGGGTCCCCACTGCCCACACCACCTTGGTCTGCAGTGTATGTCAATTCTGTGACTCCTCCTCCCATGACTACTTCTTCTCCTATGATTGATCCCCCATGGACTACTCCATCTGTTGCTACCCCATGGACAACTCCCGCTTCCATGACTCCTCCCATAGTTGCTCCTCCATGTCCTCCTGGAACGACATCCCCTTCTGTGACTTGTCCATTTTGCATGGCTACATCCGGAGATGGGGAAGGTGGATAGACACAAACTCCAGTGCTGTCATTCCTGAAATATGAAAAATTTTATGACGAGATCTCAAAAAATCTGGTAAAAATTTGTTGTCATGTTTCCTACTTTTGGTGGAATTTTTCTAAGTTCTACAAATACCTGCTCAACAAACAACTGAAAGGACATTCTTCTTCATGGAAGTATGACTTTTGATAACACAAATAAAGCATTATTTGCCTTCGAATCAATATTGGAACAATATCACATCAATCGTGCTTCATTTACAACAGGATTCGGTACCAGTTTCTCTTCCTTTTATTAAATGACTGTTGTATGTTTTATGTAGATTTGCATAATGTGTGTATTGCCCTCTACTTTGCTGAGATGTATCGTATGATGAAGAAACAGTTTAAATGTCCTCATATTTTTTACAGAAAATGTTCTCAGCACCATTCTTTCAACACCCTAACTATAAAGTAATTGTTATTAAGCATATTAAGGAAGTATGTGGGATCAATGTCATTTAGGGCCCTATTATAGACCTGGCGCAATAAGGCGCAAAACGTGTTTCCAAGACATGTTGCTATTTTGAGACCAACGCAACCTTGATTTTTCCGTCTTCCGCCACGTTGTTTAAATAGCAAACCCATTTGCACCACTTTTGTGGACTCATGGGTGTTCTGGTCTAAAATAGAGGTGTGTTAAGGCGCATTGCTGGCGCGTTGCTTTTTTGAGGAACTAAAGTTGACTGTTCAATAGACCAGCTGAGAGCAGGGGTCCATTACTTCGTACCTCACTTAAATGATCTAAAATTATTTGACAGATCCTGGATCTGTTCATCTTGATAATTGATCTCTCGCTACAAGTTTGCGAATCAGATTAAAATGTCTGGATGAACTGGTCTGAGATCGCTGCGTGTGTTCTGAAGGACTGATCTGTCGATTCTCGAAATCATGATCAGCAATGCAACGATTGGCTGACCGCACAGCAGCGTAATGACATCATCTGATTAATATTCAATTATCCATAGGACATCCATAACATAAAATTCACAGTAAACGGTTTGTTAAATATGACACGCAATAACTTTCCACGTTAGTTGTGGGCTGCAGGCTTTACACTTTCATGTGTCAAGAGTATTCATCATGTATTTCAATGCATATCAATGTATTTAGTTTTACATTTAGAAAAGATTTTCTTTATTATAGTAGCCTAGCCCTACTCATGTTTTTTAATCAGTGTAAAGAATAACTGTATCAATAAATTTTGCATCAAAAAAGCATTTTGATATCGGTAAAGGTATCAATCACCAGCATATTAGTGATCAAGACACGTGCATGACTGCATTTTTATTATCCTTTTTTTAAGTCGAATATTGTGAATATAATGTGTTTGCATCTAAAAAGTTCATATCAATAAATTTTCTCTTTGAACCACCAGGTGGCAGTCTTTTACTTTTATTTCAGAGTGCAGATTGCATAAGTTTTATTAATATTTTTTAACTTTATATATAAGCCATTATGGGGCACAACTGACTACCATGATTGGTGAAAAATACTATTATAATAAGTTAACTGGTGCTGCAGAACTTTTCTGTTTCCCACATTATGAAAATATATTCCTTTTTGTTCAGCAGAACAAATTCTATTGTACAGGCTTGGAACTACTTGTGTGTAAGTAAATGATGGCAGTTTATTAAATGAGTTATAAATATACATGCCCATTACAGGCACTGGCAATTAGTTAAACTTGAGTTAGCCAATTGTAACCTGGATTTGTTAAGTTGACTAAATACCGCATCCTTCAATCAAAATAGCCTAAAACATCTTTCAGACTCAGTGGCTATATGCTAATTAAGCCATTATAGACCTTTTTCATGGCTGCTGCACGGAGGGCGCCATAGCGACCAGCGTCTTCCGGTAGAATGCTAAAAATTTCCGTTTACAGCGTATACAACTGGTAATTTGCACACCGAAAATGGGGTTCAAATAACGTTTTTAATGGATAACAGAGTGTTTTTGTGACACACAACTTAGAAATGTGTCTGTTAAAGCCGTTATAATCTGTCACATGTGGTTCAAGCGCGTCAGAAATACACACGCACACACACACACACACACACACACAGAGAGAGAGAGAGAGAGAGCAAACCAGAGTACTGGCATGAAACTTAGCAGGTAGGAAAATCGTGCAATTTACAAAAATGACCAATAAAAGTCTGTTATTGATACTCTGCTGACTGATTTGCTGTTAACTCTAATCGCGAGCCGTTTGTGTTTTATTTCGTGTGTTGTATTCACCACGGGTTTGTGTTTTTCTGTCATTTCGAAATGACACTAGCCTATATTTTCACTTTGTCACTGTTATTAAATCAGTGTGTCAGTGGCACAGTACAGGCTACGTGTGTGTGTGTGTCAAACATTTTGGTGAATTACATTTGTTTGGGCTGGTTATATATTTGAAATAAAGAGAAAATGTTGACTTTAGCGATGACAAGGCTTCATTTAAACTGCAGAAGATGGCGTCTGACAACCAGGGGAAAATGCCTCACAGCAGCTGTTTTCCATCCTATTAGATCGCATTTCTTTTAATGATTAGTCCAGAAAGTGGTGCTGATGGACAACAGTATTAGTTCAAAGAGGATAAAAGCAGGTAAATAGATTAAAACTATCGTTTCAAAGCTGTCCATATGTGACTGTTTACACGCATTAGCTGCCGACTGGAAGTTCTTCGCATTCTCCTTGCGCATACACGCAAAGCATAATGGGTAATTTTGCGTTCCAAGAAAAAGGTCTATAGACTCAGGGCCTACTCACACTATGCCATCTGTACCGTGCCCAGGCCCGTTTCCCGGATCGTTTGAGAAGTGTGAGTGGGCTGAATCGGGCTCCAGCACGGTTCACTTGGCCGGCCCTGGCCCGGTTGGAAGAGGTTGGCCTGAGCGCGGTTCACTTGGGCTTTGGCGCGGTACACTTGTGTGTGAGTGCAAAACGCGCCAAAGCCCGAAACTGAAAGTGAGACGTGACTTTTAAGGGGTTGTTTCATATGGATTTATTAATCACTCTTACTGTTCAGTGAATGCAAACTGCCGTAGTTTATTAAAGACGAGAACTCACTGCACGACACCTGTGCACCTTCAGCAGACCTCCTCATTCCTCCAGCACGAGAGCATTATGATTGTTTTTGAGCGCCAAAAGTGGCGGATCTGTTCGGCAAAATATCTGACTGCGTGTCACCGCATCCCTAAGGACTGTTTGGCGAAATATTTGACTGCATGTCACTGCATAATAAACTACTGAAACGATATAACTAGAGAAATCTCCACTGTGCTGCTGAGTGAGAGAGCGCTTCTCACTGAAAAGCACAGCAGCGATGACGCAAGCGTGCCGAGGCCCATTTGTGGTGTGAGTGCAGGCCGTTGGGGGAGACGGGTGGGGGGACAAGCGTGCTTTGGCCCGGTTCGAGGCAACTGTACCTAGTGTGAGTACGGCCTAAGGTCCAATCCCAGTTCTATGTTGTACCCTAACCCTACACCTACTCCTACACCTCAACCTTGGCCCTTGAAAGTGTGAAGGGGTAGTAATAAAAATATTTCCTTATAAAAAGAGACACCAGTACTACACATGAACACATAAGATCACAAGTCGCAGCTAAATCATTCATCACACGAAATCAGCTGTAGTCATTCTGCTAGATGAAAGCACAGTGGAACTTTAAAGACCACTTGCTCACAAAATTGTTATGCAGTTTTCAGCTCGAAAGTGTATGAGACTCCAAGTTTCCTCAGAGGTTCCTGTTTCGACTGGTGGATAGTGTTGCAAGAAACAAAGAAAGCTGTACTGTATTTATACAGTGCTCATATTCATGGATGTAACCACAAGTTAAGTTATCAGACTTTAAAATACAGTATGTTGTGGAATATTTTGAAGTGGTTACTATAAGGCACTATAGTTTGCGAAATGTAGTGATATAAAAGAAATTAACTGAAGATCATGACTGTAACGTTGATATGAATGTAATAAATTAAATTCTAGTTTGTAGTAAAAATCCATATTATTTGTAGATCTCCTTCAAGCAAAAATAAAATTGGAACTAAAGTACAGTGGCTTCTAATCATACAAGTATAATTGTATTGTTTTGTCTTATATCTTACTGTGCTCCTTGTCTTGGGTTGGTATTCAGTATCCACAATGGGGTAAGTTTACTGTGACTGGAGGTCCACTTGCTGGGTAAGGGAGACAACCTGTTAGGCTGTTCAACTATCACTTCATTTTCAGATAGGGCAGAGGCTGGACGGGAGTCCAACAGGGCTTCCTCCAGCATTAAGCTTCCATTGCGTATTCTTGGGGGAAGCTCGATGTTTACTGTGGTCTGATCCAGATGTGGGGGCATAGGCGTGCTTCTAGGGGTGGACATAGTTGGTGTAGGAGGAACATCACTGAAGACGCTGTCACTCTGCAGATGTGAAGGAAAACAAAATTAACTGGAGTTGCAGTAAGACTAGTGATGCTGTTAAAGTGTTTAAAAACATTCTAATTACATTTGACAAAAGACTGAATTCTGTCATCATTCACCCCCCACCCCTTCATGTGTATTTTTTTAACTGCTGAAAACAAAATAAGAAACTGTGAAGGATATTGCAAACCTTCTACCATTGACTTTTTTCCTGCAATTGATGTTACTAGTTTTCAGATTTCTTCAAAATATCTTTTTGTGATCAACAAAAGAAAAAACTCAAAGGTTTATAAGCACTTGAGGGTGAGAAAATGTTCATTTTTGGGTGAATTATCACTTTAAGGCTTATAATTGGTTGCCAAAGGAACTTCAACAACAAGTATTGAGCAAATGCTGTGAATAATTAAGTGATTTAAATTTTATTAATTAATTTATTACAATTCTTTTCTCATAATGAATAGCAAAGATTTCAAACACACTACTTTCACTAAACTTGCCTTGCCTTTCATGTTGTGGAATTGCTTGTAAAAGCAGTAGGAAAATAATAAAAATAACACCTTTTAGAATAAGGCAAAAAAAAAGGGAAAAAGCAAATTGCTATTACTTTCCAGATTCAAAAGTATTTTACAACAAAATAGACAACTGGTCAAATATAGCTGCCTTTCTTATAAAACAGTAGACCTCAAGCAGCGCCCATGAATTTGCTGTGTTTTTGAAATACTGTTCTGTTAATGTTTTCTTCAACTTCAATAACGACTGTAATAATGTTATTCTACTGGATGTGATTTTAGGCAACAAAATATGTGTTGTTTTTTCATGTAAATATACAGCTCTGATTCTTTTCATAATGATTTGATGAAGAAATTAAATACAATTACTTCAAGTATTTGTTAAATGAACTAAAATGAAGAAAACAATGTATGTACATCTTAATTTTGCAAAATAGACATTCTGTCTATGAGTTCAGTCAAAATAAAGGAAAAAGATTATCTATTTCATGTACATTACTCAAAACAAAGTATTCATAAACTGTATTTAATGGATTTAGACTTTAAACTGTACACATTTACAAAAAAAATGCATGATTCTTTGTACAGTATGAAAATGGCACAAGCTTATTTGCGGTTTTATGCTGAAATATCAGAGAAAGCTTAGAGTACACCCAAACACAGATGACCTTTCCCTTATCAGAAAATTCAAAAGTACATAAAAAATGAATGTCTCCCTTGTGTACTTGTGATCCAATTGAATTAAACAGATCTTAATACCAGTGGTAAACAGAGCATGTAGTGTTAATTTCATCATGGAAACTGTTTACAAAACTGGCTGGTCCACAGTTAAACAACCCAGGTCAAACCCATTTGGGCCCCACATGTGTGTACTGGCTGGGTTTTGATCTGAAACTTCAAAGAAACATTCTGGAGACTCATGCAACTTAAAAAAGCACCAGGAAAGTATTCACAATGATTCACATTTTGTGTGACCCACTTTTTGTGTTGTCCTTGAGTGACTCTCTGAAGAGATCTGAAACTGGCTGTGCACCAACACTGCCAAAAATAGCTGTACCAAGCATTATACTCAATAAGACTTGATGCTTGTAATTGGTTTTGAATGTGCTTCACCAAAATATTCAGCAACGGCTGAAAATACATATGTATTTTTTTTAAATCAAACTTACTTATTTTGAAAATGTTTATATAATTTTTAGGGAAATGATATTAAAATAACTCATTTTGGAATAAGGTTGTAATAATAAAAAAAGAATAACTTGAATGCACTGTATATTGTGTGCAATTTAAACAGTTTTTCTTCTGTTACATAATGTTAGCAATTTTAGTCTTGAAGTCTTGAAGAAAGAGACATTTTATGTGAAAAGACCTATGGCATTTATTAAGTTCCCCTAACTTAAAGGGCATCTATGGTGAAAAATCTACTTTCAAGCAGTTTGGACAGACATTTGTGTAAGTATAGTGTATAGACCATCATATTGGGGTGATATAACACCCAGTCCTTTATTTTTAATTTAACAACATAAAAAAAACAGTGAACTAATTGGACCAGTTTTGAGATCCATCGCAATTTGACGTAGGAATGCGGTTGTTTCACGTCCACCTTTTTCAGCGTGAGTCAAAGCGATGTCACCAAAAAAACACCCTTACTCTATTTTTGGATGTAAGGCTTATTAGACTCAAAGAGAGAGCCTTCATCGTCTTCCTGCAAATGAGCAACAGAGATTTGCGCCATTTGCGCTGAACACGACGTAAAAGGTCACTTCTCTCTTTGTGTCATGTCTTTTGGACGCCCAAATACAGAAATAGAACAAGCTCTGTGAAAATAGCAGTGTTTAGACTACATTTTAGCTTTCAATGCTACTAACAGTGCCTATGTGACCCCTTCATTGCACATTTCCAGGCATGCATGCACATAACCTGAAGCGTTTATGACATAATTAACCTGGATGTATTTTTTGTAGTCCCCAAACTTCGCTGTAAGCTTTGCTAAGCTAATTCTGTAAACGTCAATGTCTCTCTTTTTATTGAACTTTGAGCGTCTTAACGCAGATTTATACCTCTGCGTCAAGCACTTACGTATGGTCCGTTGCAGCCTTAACACGATCGCATAATGTACCTTCGCACCTCTCAAAAAATGTAACAACACATTCCACCAACGCTTAGCACAAGATCTGTGATTGGTCAGCTTGCCAGCTGTGACGAGTGTGGGAGGCGCTGATAGCCGCGAGCCTGATGGAGCGAGTGTTTACAAGTGTCGAGTCCTGTGAATGAGCACCAGGTGGAAACTTTTGTTTTGTGTCTACTTTATTATTAAAGTTGTTGCACGTCCGCTGGTTCCACCTCTGAATAAGCAACTTTTAGCTACTTGTACATTAAGATAGTATTCAGAAAAAAACAAAACGCTTGTGATGAAACTCGACACAGAGAAACATAAAAGCTTACTGCCAACTAGTGTTTTGGAAGTGTTACTGCAGAGCAACACAAACAGTGTACAGAAGTAAAAATGCATGGCTATGTGCAAGTCATGCACCATGGGTTACAGCAATCACTCAACGCAGAAGTATAAACCAGCCTTTACATTCAACAATGTTATTTATGATAATGTAGTGGACTACATCTTTAAAGTGAAAGGTTAATGTTTAAATGAATGTAAGTAAATGAAACATGTAACATCTCGCATGCTATTAATTAGCATTGAGAGCCCACTAATTTTACTCACCCTAAAGAACTCCTCATCTTCCATCATCTCCCCCTCCAGTGCTTCCTCATCCTCCATCGCCATAGCTAGTCGCATCTCTGGGGCAAGATCCTGTAATGTGCGTAACCCAGCCTGGAAAATAAAAGATCAAGTCATTTCAAACCCTGTAATCTACTGAGGTTAAATCTGCATAGCATGAAAGTACAATATATTGTGCTGCTAATCATTTTATATTGTATACTCGCAATGATATTTTTGATATTACTATAATAATTGCATTACAGTCTGAAATCAAATGCACATGACCAAAACAAAAATTACTTTCTCTCTCATCAACTGACTTCAGCAAAGATCAACTGAAGCCTCAATAAATTTCATCAGCACTCTGTTCTTCTTTCTCCTTCCTCCCTTTTTTGGATTGATTGTAAATGAGAGACAACTGTCTAAAAGGGCAAAACCACACTGTAAAATCTGTGCTTTGCCTTATCAGATAAAAAAGACAAAAATGTCATGACTGATATCCGTCTTCTTAAAAAGATAAAAAAAATAATGCAACAACGCAGACACCAGTTACATTCTCACCACATAAAGAACCACGTACTGAGACCGCCATATCACTATTAATGTGTCTTTTGTGTGTGCCTGCAACCAGCAGTGCTTAAGTGTGCACTCACACTATGCTATCCGAACCATGCCTAACCGCGTTTACCGGTTTGTTTGAAAAGTGTTAGTGCTCCGAATCAGGCCCAGGTGCGGTTCAGTTGGCCGGCCCTGGCCTGGTTGGAAGAGATGTGCCAAAGCGTGGTTCGTTAGGCTTGTAGTGTGAGAAGAATAGGTTTGTTGCACCTGCAATGATTTTTTTTTATCTGATTTTGAAGCCTAATGATTTAACCATAAAGAAGGTGCTTGTTTTGAAACCTTTGTTACATGTTTTAAAAATTTTGATGTTTAAGAAAAATGAGGTTTAACGTAATTAATAAAGTTTTGTATTTTGATTATTGTGTCTGAAAATCTAAATAATACTATTTTTCAAATGTGAACGTCAGTGTTTAGTTGTTTATTTTGTTCATGCACATTATAAAATTACAAAAGAAAACCATTCAATAGCCTTGAATGACTTTTGAAAATAGATTATTTGGGTGCATGTTATTGTGATTAATTGAACATCTGGGCAGATTTTCTGCAAATGTGTTGGACAGAAGGGTGAACCATTGTCTGGGCCTAGAGCTTTTCTGATCTTTTGTTTCTGAAATACATCTTCCATACAGATACAGAGACCAGGTTGTGTAGCAGAAGTGTGTGAAGGGAGTTGGCAGGTGTTCATGGAGGTGGGTCGAAAATCTAAATGACAACAGGATCATCAGTTAATTGTTTAAGGCCCCATTTACACTAATTTGTTTTAGTATTAAACCGACGTTCTATAATCAAAACGATCCACATCCGTACTTTCACCTGGTGTTTCTGAAAAGATCTCTGTCCACACTATACTGCTGAAAATACACATCATGTGACCGTACACACATTCTGCAGCATGCGCTGCAGCGTTTGCGCATGTCTGAGCCCCAGTCAGTCAGCGGGGGCTTTGAGTACAAAACCCCAGGTGAGAGCTGCACACATCGAACTGTTTATCAAGGATAACCACTGGATCTAATCTCACAATACTGTATTTGTTAAACGTGATATTCAATTCATCTGGTTGTCTATACCTAACGTCACATTCCCCGACTTTGGTCTTTTGAATCTATTACTTGCTCTCAGGTAACGTGTTTTGTCTGAGCTCAAAGATAAGTTATTATATTAATTCATGTTACCACGTACACAGATTCTGCACATTTGACTGATTGCTTGCCTTTGTTTTCTATATTTTATAAATTTATTGTATGTTATACTTTTATAATTGACATTATTGATTATTAAAACTGATATTCAGCAAAAGAGAGAGGGTGTTTCATATTTTTCATTGAAAATGAAAGGAGACAATTATTTTATAGGCTCTATTTTGTTATAAATATGCATACAGTGAAGATGACGATCATATAAATATGCAGCTACACGACGCCTCACATTTTTGGTGTCTGTTAAGTTGTTAATATCAAAATGAAAATAGGCAGTTTCTTATATCGGGGATGCAGTGGCGCAGTAGGTAGTGCTGTCGCCTCACAGCAAGAAGGTCGCTGGTTCGATCCTAGGCTCAGTTTCTGTGTGGATTTTGCATGTTCTCCCTGCGTTCGTGTGAGCACCCCTCCAGGTGCTCCGGTTTCCCCCACAGTCTAAAGACATGTGGTACAGGTGAATTGGGTAGGCTAAATTGTCCGTAATGTATAAGTGTGTGTGTGTGGATGATTCCCAGAGATGGATTGCGGCTGGAAGGGCATCCGCTGCTTAAAAATGTGCTGGATAAGTTGGCGGTTCTTGGAAAACTCTGGGGTAGTGTGGACGCAAGGCGTAACCGTAGCAAAACTTAGGTGTTTTAAAACGAAAATGTTTTATTGTAAACTGGGTCTAAGTAGATCATCAGTTGATTCCCAGAAGTCTGGAGAGATGGTGTCTTTTGCTTAATCTTATTTGCCTTGTCAGTGTGTTTCTGTCCAGTTATACAAAACTCTGTCCCTACTTTCGTAGGCATCTGTTTTGACCGGAAAAAAAACTGCTTGAGTTTTAATTGTTGCAGGAAAATTTCAGATTAGATGTACTAGGAAATTATTAGGGAGTCAAAAACCTTCTCTGGGAACAGAGTGATACAGTTTGCATGCTTTATTGTAGAAGCAGTGTACTGTATCAGTATTTTTCTGCCACTGGACAGGCATGTGACGTGCTGTTTGTATTTAAGCCATTCACCAGTGAGGTTTGTTCTACAGTATATGAATCTCCAAGAATAATAATAAAAAATAATAATAAAAATTTGGTTGATTTTTCCCTACAATGTCTGTATATTAGGCTTTCGTTATCCATTGTAGGCAAAATCTGTCCCACACAGATAGACAACTGCCATATTACTTTACCTGGAGAGAGGCTGATTTGTCTTTGCCTTTCTTCTTCCTCTCTTTCTCCTTTCTCTTGCGAAACTTTTTAAAGTAGTCCTGAATTAGAAAGCTGGCATAAAACTTCCCTGCAGTCACTTCATTGCCTAGAACATAGACAGAGAATAAAAAAAGTAAGAGATAAAGTTATATAGTCCAAATTCAAAACATAAAGTCTACTAGAAAAAATCTTAGCAAACTGTACCTGAAGGGGGAGGTATAACTTCATCTAGGAGTTTGGGTTTGGTGCGTTTCCAGATCTTTTTAATAATAGCTCTCAGCTCTTCATTCTGTTGATCAATGGGGCCTGTGGTGAATAGAAAGGTATTCAATTTATGTATTTAAATCTTGTCTTAATGGTTACAAAGAATGCATTGATACAATATGTTAAATTGTTCTCTGATATCTACCTATGAGTTATATACGGCTTACAACCCTTGGACTTCCCCCTAGAAGGAAATGGTCTGCTTTGACCTTATTTAGTAGGGTCATGAATATAAATCATCAGTGATGATAATCTGTGATGTCATGATAGCTGGAAGATGTGAGTAAGCTGTGACCAGTTGTATTTCCACATTAGCCTGGTATCCATAGCATAATTATAAACTAATTTCAGCCTGGAATTATATGTTGCCTGGATTCTACATAGCAGGCAAAGCAGAATTGTGTTTTTTTTTCTTTTTTTCAGTTAACAAGGCAAGACTGATCCATTTGAAGTACATTTCAGAGAGCTCTGTTATCAGCATCAAAGTGGAAAATCCGTGCTGGAGCTCTTAAGTAAAAAATGTAATCTAACTTAAAATTCTATCCAACAACAGCCACTGACATAGATCTACACTGACATAGATCTAGTATACAGTTGTATTTTGTAGATTAAACATACCTCCATATAAGTAGGTCAATTTTAACCTCCATATAAGTAGGTCATAATATTGTTTAGTGATGAAAGCTAAATAGTTGCAGTTTGCTAGTTAGCCTCATCGCAGTAGCATCCAATCTCAACAGAATTATGATGTATAGTTGAAGTCAGAATTATTAGCCCCCGCTTTAAATTTGTTTTTCTTTTTTAAATATTTCCCATATGATGCTTAACAGAACAAAGAAATTTTCACAGTATGTCAAATAATATTTTTCTTCTGGAGAAAGTATTATTTGTTTTATTTCAGCTAGAATAAAAGCGTTTTTTTAAACAAAATTATTAGCCCCTTTAAGCTATATATTTTTTCAATAGTCTACAGAACAAATGATCATTATACAATAACTTGCCTTATTACCCTAACCTGCCTGATTAACCTAGTTAAGCCTTTAAATGTCATTTTAAGCTGTATAGAAGTGTCTTGAAAAATATCTAGTAAAATATTCTTTACTGTCATCAGGGCAAAGATGAAATAAATCAGTTATTAGAAATGAGTTATAAAAACTATTATGTTTACAAATGTGTTGAAAAAAATCTTCTATCTATTAAACAAAAATTGAAAAAAATAAACAGGGGGGCTAATAATTCTGATTTCAACTGCATGTATGAAATATCTCACTAAGAAATGTAATATGAAAACAGTGGCTTCAACAGTCAAGAAGTGCATAAAATAACGGCTTACTGCTTGTGGTGAAGAGTTGTAATGGAAAAAAATCAATAGTTGCTGCCTTCTTCAGAATCAAACACTGTTGGGGGTGTAGCCAAGGCTATAGAATACCCTTAAAGTGATTCTGGTATAGCCTGCATATTAAAATTCCTGACTACAACATAACAGTCAGTGTTATGTATTAATTTCCTTGTTTTTCAATGGTCTTTACTATAATGAGGTTTACATTTGAAGCTGACTGTATCAGCCATTCCCATCTACAGAATTTGTATTATTTAACTATGGCTATGTATATGTTTTCCTTTTAATGCCACCTTTAAAGACACACTGGCTGCGTCCGAAACCAAACTATATAGTACGCTAAAATCAGTATGCGAGCCGAGTAGTATGTCCAAATTCATATAATTCAAAAATCAGTATGCGAGAAGTACCTGGATGACTTACTACTTCCGGTGAGATTCTGGAGTGCGCATCCCATGCATGCTGCGATATCCCATAATGCCCCCGAGCGAATTCACGAATGGGAGTAAAGTGACGCAACTGGCGCAGGTAGGTCACATGACCATGACAAAATGGCAGATGTAGTACGCCCGAATTCCATTCATACTGTATAGATTGTACTTTTCTAACGGCCGAGTAGTACGTTTAAATTCAAATGCAGTACCTACTGAGTAGTAGGAGGTTTCGGACACAGCCACTGACAAACTTTTCATCTAGAACAAAAGTTTTCAAACCATCAAGCAGAGCTTAGCTGAAACCATAATTAAACACACCTGAAGCAAATAAACAAGTTTTTTATGATTCTTTAAAAGAAAGAACTGACTCTATGCCGCTAAAAAGAGAAGGTGACAAGATGCCATTATGGGATTGCCTGCAAGGTTATAATGGTGAGTAATACAGACACTCTCATCTCCCAATAGTAAGATAATCTCTGTTTAAAATACACAAGCAGTTGTGCTAAAGCGGATTGTAAATAATACACTTTACAAGACTGTGAATCCCCATGAGCAGGGCCAAAGATCCCTGATCTAAAATGTATTTATGGAAATCAATAAATAACCTTTAATAACAAGTTAAAATAGTCTGAAGTTCAGTTCATTGTGTGTGTGTGTGTGTTTTGTTAATAATTTAAATGAATGAATGAATGAAAGATGTAGCATGCCCTGCACTTTAACCAATCCGTACTTAAAACAGTTTTGCATATAACAATTTTCCACTAACAATCAGACTATTTGTACACCTACTCATTGTCTTCTACATATTACTGTCAACATTGTAAATTGTATATTGTCTTGTTTTTTGGGATTATGTTGTTGTATTTTGCAATGTTGTTGTATTTTGCACTGTCTGTATTTTGCACCTTTTGAAGCCAGCACCTAAGCTTTTTACTCATTACAGCACACGTGCTGCTGATGATGTGACAATAAAAGTGATTTGATTTGATGAATGAATGAATGAATGAATGGAAATTTTACCATCTGTTTTAATCTTGAGTGAAGTTCTGACAAGAGCAAATAGGGTGGCGTTGAAGGACACAGTGCCATCAGGATAGAGAGGAACATTCATAGCAACCAGTCTCTGCCAATGACAAAGAGAGAAATGTAGAGTAAGTAACAGATGCATGTATTACTCTTTGCTAGCACATTCTGTTGAATGTTCTGTTAAAATGAGGATGTTTGTCTAGACCAGGGGTGCTCAATCTCGGTTCTAAAGGGCCGGTGTCCTGCAAAGTTTAGTCAATCAAGTTCAGACACCCCTGGTCTAGACACTGCTAGGTAGTTGTTTATTAAACCATCAATGAACAGAAAAACGATGGTTTATATACCAGGGGTGCTCAGCCCTGTTCCTGGAGATTGACCTTCCTAAAGATTTCAGCTCAAACCCTGATCAAACACACCTGAATCAATTAATTAGGACCTCAACAGCACTTGATAATTACAGGCAGGTGTGTTTAATATGGGTTGCAACTAAAATCTGCAGAAAGGTTGATCTCCAGGAACAGGGTTGTTCACCCCTGGTTTATACAAAGGGAAATAATCTCTAAAAAAGACATTCAAGGACAAAATTAACAAGAGTACTACAATTAAGGGACAAACCAGGTATTGTAGATGTTACATTATATAAGATAAGGAAAGGACCAAGTGATGAATCTCATTTTAAAAATATTTAAATATTATTGATGAAAGCAGGGCAACGCAGTGGCGCAGTAGGTAGTGCTGTCGCCTCACAGCAAGAAGGTCGCTGGTTCGATCCTCGGCTCAGTTGGCGTTTCTGTGTGGAGTTTACATGTTCTCCTTGCGTTCGCGTGGGTTTCCTCCGGGTGCTCCGGTTTCCCCCACAGTCCAAGACATGCGTTACAGGTGAATTGGATGGGCTAAATTGTCCGTAGTGTATGAGTGTGTGTGTGTGTGTGTGTGTGTGTATGTGAATGTGTGTGGATGTTTCCCAGAGATGGGTTGCGGCTGGAAGGGCATCTGCTGTGTAAAAAATGTGCTGGATAAGTTGGCGGTTCATTCCACTGTGGCGACCCCAGATTAATAAAGGGACTAAGACGACAAGAAAATGAATGAATGAATGAATGATGAAAGCAGCCTTGGTGAGCGTAAGAGACTTCATTTAAAAACAACAACAACAAAACAAGAAAACAAAGCTGAATGTATGTATAGGTTATGTATAAGGAAGGATCCTCTAAAATTTAAGTCTAGTTGTTTTTTTTTGTTGTTGTTTTTTTTATACATTTAAACCACAAATCCTCCTTACCCTACAGGCCACTCGATGTGGACAGAGTTTTCCAAACCCCAGTGGAGGCTGAATTCTGCGCAGCATGGTAACTACATCTAAATGTTTAATCCGTCCCCTGCAAAAAGATGGAACAGTATTTCTAAATTGAATTGATATACTTTTTTCAAGTTGTGAAATTGTCATAGACAGACTTACGTGGCCTCTGGATCGTAATCTGACCAGACTCGTTTAAACTCATCGAGGTGATGAGTGCCAAGCACAGTCCAGTCTCTAGTCAGATACTCAAAGTTATCCATGATGACAGCAATGAACAAGTTAATAATCTGAGAAAACAAAGATTGGAAAAAACAAATGTTAGACACATATTTATTTTCTGTGAAGGATTTCTGAAGGTTTTTTTTCCCAGAAACTTGATACTTTCAAAACTGTGTTTCTTTCCTTTCAAAATCATTCACTGTGGATCCACTCAACACTTTTGTTTTTGCTTGCATTTTTATGAACTGAATTAAAAAATCTAAAATTAAAAAACTTTTTATACTCAATGGGCCTATTTCAGAAAACCAGTCAGTATCTATTTTGACCACCATTCTCCTCACGCAGTGCAACACATCACCTTTGCATAAAGTCTGTGGAATGTTGGCTCAATCTTCAATGGCTGTACAAAGTAGCATGATATTGGCAAGAGCTGGAACACACTGTTTTATATATATAATATATATATATATATATATATATATATATATATATATATATATATATATATACACTAATTCAGAGAATAACATGAAGTTGTGTTCTTTGATGTGTTGTGCTCTTTGTCCATAACACATGCTAGATGCATTTGAATAAGAGCAACTCAAGTTGGGTACGGTGAAAACTGCAGTCAAAGTGCAGCCTTTTTTTTTGTTTATTGAAAAAGTTTTTTGATGTTAATATTTTAATTAATTTGATATTTGAGACCATGGGAGCAAAACAAAATCTTGTGTTTATATTTTTGTTAAGTGTATTTCCTTGCCTCATTTAGTCTTTTGTATTCATATAACTTTTAGTTTTGCAGCGATTTTCAAAAGATTCAGATGTTTAAGCAAATCTTTGTAAAAGAGTGAGCTACTGCCAGTTTAATTGACTGCTTTCTCTTACCAAAAAGGCACAGAGTGCAAAGAAACTGATGAAATAGAGGTATGCCAGGTTGCTTCCGCAGGTAAACTCCTCCCCCGCCTCAAAATCAGACTCTGGGTCACACCGGTGCCCCGGCAGTGCTGCAAGCATGATCTGCTGCCACTGTTCACCTGTTGCACACCTGGGTATAAAAAAAGAACGAAACACTTTTACGAGAAGTCATTTAACTAACCAAAAAGAAATCATTATCCAAACTTAGGTTCAAAAATCAAACAGTTAAAGATGGCATTCTTACCTGAACAGCAAAAGCACAGCCATGAAAAAGGTTTGGAAATTGTTGTTCCGATTAAGCTCTGTATCGTCGTCTATAGCTATCTTCCCAAATATCTGAAATAACAGCAAAAGAGAGTTTAAACCACTCAGTTTAGAACGTTCCTCCAGTGTAGACCATGAAATGACAGAGAGAATACTCACCTGCATGCCAATCACACCATAAATAAAAAAGATCATCGCAATGAGTAGGCCAACGTATGGTAAAGCCTAAAGGTAACCAGAGATAAAATCTTAGAGAGAAAAACAATTTGACTCAAACATGTTTTGTTTTTTTTCAAAGTGCAGACAAACCACGTATTAGGGCATGGATCTGATAACAAATGTGACTAATAAAGCTTTCTGGTTCTTAATTAAATTAAATTCAATTCAATTCAATTCAATAATTGCTTTATTGGCATGACAAATCTTACAAATGTATTGCCAAAGCATTTTTAAAGTTTACATAAAGAAGTAACATACATATATAATAAAAAAACACAGTAGACACTATAGATAGTAGTAAAAAAAATTCAAATATATATTTAATACAATAATTAAATAAAATATAAATAAAATATTATATTATTCAATATACTATATTATTATTCAATGTATTATATTATTCATACAAATAAATAAAAAATTAAAATAATAGATCAGCATACACTGTACATTTTACCATTCAACATTTTAGGATACAACAGTCAGTTTTTTCCCCTAGTAAATATTGCAGTTGTGTTTTATTATCTAACTCAGTGAATTGTGGGTAAATGCTCTGTAGTTTGGGATAGAATGTTTTTCTGATGTGCTAATAGTTTGTGCAGCGGGTGAGGAAATGTTCCTCCGTCTCCAGTGTGGGCAGATGCGGCTCTCTCTAGGTTGCCAGTTCTGTCTGTATCGGCCCTTCTCCAAAGTTAAGCCTGGTTTATACTTCTGCGTCAAGTGACCGGCGTGACCCACGGCGCATGCAACGCGCGTAGCTGTGCATTTATAATCCTGCGCGCTGTCTCTGTTGGTCTTCATTAACACTTCCGAAACGCTAGTTGGCAGTGAGGTGTAAGTGTTCCTCTGTGTCGAGTTTTTTCGCTGATGTTTTGCTTTTCCTGAACACTTCCGGGATGTACAAGTGGCTCAAACTCGCTCATTTTAAGGCAGAAACCGACGGATGTGCAACAACTTTAACTATGAGGTAAACACAAAACAAAACTTTCCATCCGGAGCTCCTTCACGGGACTCCCCACTTGTAAACAATCGCTCCATCAGACTCGCACTATTCACGCGGCTCTCGGTCCCTCCCAGACTCGTCAGCGCTACCAAGCCGACCAATCACAGAGCTTGCGCTACACGTCGTTGCGACATGTAGTTACATTTTTTGAGGGGTGCACGTCAGCGACGCCGACGGGCTATGCGTCAGCGCCGTAGCATACGCCGCCGTTTGACGCAGAAGTATAATTCAGCCTTTAGACTGTGGTTGCTGTGGTATAATCTCTATTTATGTCTAAATAACATTGAAGTTTACTTTGTTTTGCTGCTGCTTCATTCCAGTAAATCAGAAACTCTTCTTTTCATGTATTTATCATTTAATTGGACTTAATTTTGTGGATGAGCATGTCTGTGTCCTGATGCTGCCTGCTGTTAGTCATATTCTTTGTGTTGGTTTGTGTTTGTAGCTTCAGGACCATCTGAATCAGGGGGCTTTTTCAAAGTCCATTTCTTGGGTTTTGAGGGCTTTAAAATGATAAAAGTTAGGGTCACTCATTTTAATGTGTTTCCAAAATTTGACGGGTCGTTTTTCAATGCACATGAGTAGAGGAGACTGGCCTAATTCTGCCCTGCATACATTGCTGGGTGTGTTCCTCTGTAACTTTCTCACCTGTAGTGATTTAACGAAAGTCCAAAGGAGTGTACGGATGCCTTCACCCTTGCTGAGCAGCTTGACCAGTCGCATAACACGGAAAAGACGGAAAAAAGTGATGGATACTTTGGCACTTTCGCCTTCTTTTCCCTGTTTAAACAGAAATAGAGAAGACAGAGCAAATATTAATATGTAATATTAAAAATACCCAGTTAACAAGAAATCTGAAATTGAAAGTGATTTGTTTTTTAAAGCAGTAACCTAATGCAGTTCTTTGTAAAAGATAGACTGTGCAACACATCTGACAACAAATCTGGAACCTGAGGTTAGCCCAAGATAAGTAGTAGGGGTATTTTAGAATGAACAGATTTACTCTACCAGCAATTATCTATCTACTGTAAGCAAAAAACTGTTGCTGAATACACACTATAACACTGTCATCAATGACTAAATCGCTGTGGAATATTCACAAGATAGATAAAAATGTCGCAGAATTGGTGCTCTGACAGGGACATGATGGTTTTAAATGACTGAAAACGGCTGTGGGTGCAGTATATGGATCACAAGTGGCCACAATTTACAGTTTGCGATCATATCTCTGTTTTGTTTTGTTTTATTCTGTTTTTTGCCCATCAGGTCTCTGCAATTGTGTCACATCCTACTATTATATATGTGCAATAGCCTTGCGATTCTTTAAATAGACCTCAACATTGTTCACTAAAAGTAATCAAAAAACAATATAGGAAAAGAAAAGTCAGCAGCCTAAGTGCCTCACTGCTTTTACAGCTGCAGTCATGTACTTGAGACATAAAGTTCCCAAATTAAAGACCCTTGTTTCACCTCACCACAATTCCCTTAACTATAATTATCAAATAGTCTGCATCGATCGACATGAAGAACTCAGAATTTCACGTTTCCATTCTCACTCGACATAGGCCACCCCATACAGTGTGCCTTTGAGTACATCTGTTTAACTGTAAGTCCTCTCCTTTATTTCTCTTTTGCTATTTACAGCTGATATTCAGTAGAAAGCAAGACTATATCAACAACAGCTCCCTACTCTCCTGCCTACCAGCCTTTATTGTCTTTTCTTAATTGATGCTACGCTGCTTTGACAATCCACATTGTAAATGCTCTATGAAGATAAAGAAAAATCTAATTGAATAGTGCTGGCCAATGATGCAATTATTTGCTGAAATCTTCACAGCTAAACAAGATCACTATGGCATATTCTTACCTCACCATGGCCTCCACCACCCTGGGGAAGTAACAGGATATTTCAGAGATTTGAAGTGAAAATGAACAGAAGAGATTTGAAATTAAAAATGGTAAGTTTCTGTGTTTAAGATAACAAAGCATAATGCATTTTAATGAAACAAACTTGCATTGATGAGATTCTCTCATACATGAGAAATAGTTTCAGAATAAGTACATACGCTCAGCTCTGCAATCATGATGTCCACCAAACTGCCCACCACTATCAGTGCATCAAAAGAATTCCAGGCATCTATAAAATAATGCTGTCAAATCCAAGACAAAGATGTTGAGAGCAAAAGGAGAGAGGAAAAAACAGAAACGTAAACATGAACATGTTTTAAGACTGCATATTATATCCCTTGATCAAAGTTAAAAGTAAAAGAAACTCTCACATAAGGTCTCAGAGCCATGAGTTTGATGATCATCTCAACAGTAAAGAGCGTCGTGAAGATCATGTTCAGTATGTCCATCACAGAGTTGAAGAGTTTGGATTGCTCATAATGCTGTGGGATCACAGTAATGTAATCAATTTAGTGATGTAGTTATGTAGGACATTGAAATTATAGCATGCTTAAATGTGTATGTGTGTGTACCTGTACAGCCAACGTGAGTGTGTTGAGCAGAATGAGGACAAACATGATATACTCGAACTGAGAGGAATTTATGATCTTCCAAAATTTAAGTTGGGAAGGGTTTTTGGGAATGTAAATCTTTATTGGTTGAGCTTTCAGTGCATAATACACGCACTGACGCTACGAGCAAAAGGAGCAGAGAGACACCATGAGAACAAGAGCAACAACAATGAAAAAAAAACACCCTAAAATCAACCGAGTAGACTAGATGATGAAAAAAGGTTCTACTGTATTCCTAAATACTTAAATATATGTCAGTATTCACTAACCTGATTTTTATTTAGTTCACAGTTTTTAAACTCTGCCTCTCCTTGTTCACGAAATGTGATAATGACAAAACCCACAAAGATGTTCATCATGAAGAAGGCAATGATGATAATGTAGATGATGAAGAAGATGGAAATCTCTACACGGTAGTTATAGATGGGTCCTCTGTTCTCTGCATTGGCATCAATGGCTTTGTACAAGAGCCTGTGAATTAAAAAGATGTTGCATTTTCAAGGATTCAAATTCAGTTACTTTGTTGAATAGTGCACTTTTCTCACTTACTGTGGCCAGCCCTCAAATGTAGAGACAGTGAAGAGCGCAAGCATGCCCATCAGAACATTGTCAAAGTTAAACTCGCTGTTTTCCCAAACTCTCTCCCTCACCATTGGATGGTTCATATCACCATCTTTGAACACAACAAAAGTGCCCCTGAAACACACAAAATTACAGTTATAGATTTAGCCTGTTTACCCAAAGTGACATGCAAATGAAAAGATCAACAGAAGCAATTAAACCGTCAAAGAATTAAAAAAATGTCCAACATGATAGAAAGATCAAGATTTTTTTTTATTAAAAAAAGAAAAAAGAAATTGAAAAGTAATGGCTAGTAATAACAGACATCCCAGGTTGGAAAAAGTCATTTCCGGGGGATACAGAGTAGATTTGCGGGAGGTAGTGGGATAGTGGGTGTTTTAAGAGTGGGAGCGGGGGGGTTGCGTTGAGTTAGCAACGTTTCGGGGTAGGGGGGCGTGTGGCCGTGAGACGTACCCGAAGAGCATAAAGAGCGGTGGGAGTTGCGCGCGCGACACGACATAACGTTACCTCAAGACCCCCACACTGCAAAAAATGCTTTTCTTACTTAGATTTTTTGTCTTGTTTCTAGTCTAAATATCTAAAATTTCTTATATCAAGAAGCATTTTTTAGACAAGCAAAATATATTGCCTTGTTTTGAGAAATAATATGCCAATATTAAGTCAGCTTTTCCTTAAAACAAGCAAAATAATCAGCCAATGGGGTAAGCAAATTAATCTTGTTTTTTCTTTTGACGTAAGATTATTTTGCTTACCCCATTGGCAGATTATTTTGCTTGATTTAAGGAAAAACTGACTTAATATTGGCATATTATTTCTCAAAACAAGACAATATGTTTTACTTGTTTAGAAAATTCTTCTTGATTTAGGAATTTTTAGATATTTGGACTAAAAACAGGACAAAAAATCTAAGTAAGAAAAGCATTTTTTGCAGTGTGGGGGTGAGTTGCGTGCAACGTACCTGAAGAGCTACGAGGGATGCGGTGAAGAGAGGGCTGTGCAACGTATTTAAGGACCGAGCAGGAAGCGCGCGATTTCCGAGAGATTATCATTCAATTGCGGGCATCCGGGAGTGTCTATGCATTTGAGGGATACTACCGCAACTTCCAGAAGACTTGGGATGTCTGGTAATAACATGGACACAGGCATAGGACGTCAACATGACATCAGATTAACGTTTTATCCCAACGCCGTCAGGACATTGTTTTTTGTTTGGAAATGAAAGTCGGGTTGACGTCAGAACCTAACGTCAGACAAACGTCAATGTCCAACTTCAGGCAGATGTTGCATTTTGGTTGGAAATGAAAATCGGGTTAATGTCAGAACCCAACGTCAGACAGACATCAATGTCCAACGACATGCAGACGTTGGACTTTGGTTGGTTAATCCCACAACCTAAAACCAATCAAAGATCGATGTCTACTGATGTTACACTTTGACATTGTATGGACATCACATTATGACGTTAATACCATGTTGGATTTTGGTTAGTTAATGCCACAAATTTAAACCAACTAAAGATCAACTTAAGTTGACGCAGTGGCGCAGTAGGTAGTGCTGTCGCCTCACAGCAAGAAGGTCGCTGGTTCGAGCCTCGGCTCAGTTGGCATGTCTGTGTGGAGTTTGCATGCTCTCCTTGCGTTCGCGTGGGTCTGCTTCGGGTGCTCCGGTTTCCCCCACAGTCCAAAGACATGTGGTACAGGTGAATTGGGTAGGCTATTGTCTTTGTCTATAGTGTTTGAGTGTGTGTGTGAATGAGTGTGTGTGGATGTTTCCCAGAGAGGGGTTGCGTCTGGAAGGGCATCCGCTGTGTAAAAATGTGCTGGATAATGAAAAATCAACGTCTACTAATGTTATACTGATGTTGTATGGATGTTTTATTATGACGTTTTATTATCCCCTGACATCGCGACCAAAACATAACCAAAAACCTACATCATATGACGTTATGTGCCTGTTGGGAATGTCAACTCTCTGAGAGATTTAATATGGTAATAAATATGTTTATGGCAATGCTGATGTGTTTGGTCTTGGTGGCTGCTGCTTTGATTATTATGGCAGAGCAATACCAAGCTTGTTATTGCCAGTATATTTACAGACATTTCATCTGCGTATGTAACACACTGCTTCAGCAAACATAAAATCTATGTAACCTCATAGCTTATTTAAACAGAGGTGGAGCTGGGGTGGAGGACGGTCTCTGAGAACACGTCACAGCATTGCAGCATAGGATTAGGTGACCTATCAGCCTACGTACACAGAGTTTCATGACAGATTTATGTATTAACAGGTAACCGTCAATATAAAGGTCTATTAAAGTTAAAAGTTATAAGCACACAACTTACTTGCACTCTTCAGGTGTATGCTTCGCTTCATCTGTGCATCTATAGAACCGGCCCTGCAAGAAGTATAACATTAATCAGTATTAAAACACTGTTTAAACTATTAAAGTATCTATTTTGCTTTTGATTGACATCAACAAGTGCCTGCACAACCAAGGCTAGGTTCTTTTCCCTGAAATGATTTCAAGGGCAAACATAAGACCACAAAATGCATAAAGAAAATAAATACATTCATTTTAATTCCATGTTGACTTCCTGTACCTTAAAAAGCTGGACACCAATACAAGCGAACATGAACTGGAGAAGAGTGGTGACAATGAGGATGTTGCCAATAGTGCGGATGGCCACAAATACACACTGAATCACGCTCTGTAGACATAGAGGGACAACAGTTATTGAAAGCATTTAGATGACTTGAATGGTTCTGTCAACTGACATGACAGTTTTGTCTTTGTCATGACAACTGTACATTACCAAGACAATGAAACTTGTAATAAACATGATTATATTTATAATCACAATTAGAATGACATCATGGCAATCATGTTTATGAGAGATTTTTGACAAGTTAGAGTATCTTGTCTAGATAATGTCAAGTTGTCATGACAATGACAGGCAATGCTGTATTTTATTATGTCAAGTTGTCATAACAAAGAGATGTCAAACAATGTCAGCTTTGCATTTAAAATGACAACTGATTGAACAACACTTTATGACGTTTGTCATAAGCATGCATAACATGTCAAGTATATTCATCATGTGTTAAGTTTTATGAAGAGTCTTATGAACACCCTATTGAAGTAAAGTGTTACCCAGTGTACAGTAACTACCATTATTAGGAGTTTTGGTATTATTCACTTATTTTCCTTTAGCTTATTCCCTGCATTTATCGGGGGCTCCACAGTAAAATAAACTACCAATAGCAATTACTCTAGCATATCTTATACTGGCAGATGTCTTTACAGCCGCAATCCAAATTTAGTGCATTATTCGTTTTTGTGCAATGTCAGGTACCACTCAGGTACTTGAAGGTCAAAAATGTCAAAACACGGTTTTATTACTCCTAATACCCTTTTATTTTTACTTTTTTTTTACTTTAACAGAATATTCCCCTATATTGCTCTAGAAATAAACAACAAAACATCATTTCAACTCAAAATATCTCAATATCTCAGGTTCATATGCACTAGAGTGCTCACTGTCAGTGTCCACAACTATAACTCTAGAGATTCCTTTATTCTATGTTGTGAGCTTCTGTGCACCAAGTTGACATGAAAATGGCAACAAGGGAGAACCAGTGCTGCATCTCACATTTTCAGATGCAAAGGCGTGTTCTTGAACTGTGAGAGAGATCATGAACTGGTCCTGTAAAGTCCTGTAATAAAACAGGACTAAAGAGTGTATTTTCATTATATGACAAAACTGAAAAAAGCTCACCATCTAAAAATGGTCAGAATTATAAATCTGATGCCTTACAAATGAAATGAAATCAAATTAAATAAACAAATGTTGCATCGTTACATATTTAAATGGGACTGGGGGACAAAATGTAATTTTTATCAGGACTTTTTTGTCCCAAATTTTCTGAAAGAAACTTTATTTACCAAGTGTAAAATTATTTTTTAAGCAAATAAGATTTTCAGTCAATCAATCAATCAATCAATATATATATATATATATATATATATATATATATATATATATATATATAAAATATATATATATATATATATATATATATATATATATATATATATATATATATATATATATATATATATATATATATATATATATATATATATATATATAAATAAATGTAAATAAACTAAAATATCCATAAATTGTTTTAGATTAAACCATCAAGCTTAAATTCTGGAAGTTATCTAGCAATTAAAAGTGTTATAGATAAAGAAGGGAAACTAATCCTACATTTCTGTTTGTACATCTCAGAGTTATTGACAAGGAGAAATATTTTGTGAGGTTGTACCTTGAGCCCCTTTGCCCTGTTGATGGCTCGAAGAGGCCTAAGCACTCGCAAAACTCTAAGAATCTTCACCACAGAAATGGCACTCGAACTACAGAAAGTAGAAAAATAATAAATAAATAAATGAATGAACAAATGAATGAATGAAGCGAGTGATGAATAAATACTTACTTCAAAAAGAAAGAGGTGAGGGACACACTGACGACAAGAAGGTCCAGAAGGTTGAAGGCATTTCTGCAGAAGGAACCTTGATGAAGGAAAGCTCCATACACAGTCATCTGAGCAACACAAAGTTACACGTTCATTAATGCACACATTAAAATTGGTTGGCTTAGCACTGGCAACCTAAGATGTTTTCATATATAGATAATTTAACTCCTTCAGACTCTTTAATTTCAAACTCTTGCTCTTAAGTCCCATCATTTTAAAATCAAACACACACACTCAAGCGCAAATGAGGCTACAGGCCTCCTCTGCCAGTGGCTCAGCCTGTCATGGGGATCACCATGTTGGGTTGTGCACCTAGGTTGTTCACTGCTCCTTCAGTCACAAAAGGCCTGTCCCAGAGCCTATACATGCCAGAGCCAGTTCCGTCTGCCCAATGAAAATGTTATTTTATTCCACCAACACCTCAGCGGAGGCTATCTCTGCCCTGATGCTCTGTTCCACTAGCTTTACCCAGACCCTATGCTTTTGCATGGTCTTATGCCCCCTCCTATCAACCAAAGTTTCCTGTTCCCGTTTCTTCATTAAACCTCTAAAATAAAGCAGCTGAATTTAATGTCAATCCTCAAAATAATTTTACATGAAGAAACAATCTCTATCAGTGTGGAGTTTTTCAATTCTTTCACATCCTTCATTAAAATATGAAATTTTGGTTGTTTTAAAAAGAAATTAAAATATATCCCCCCCTTCTGCTATTAATGGTCTTTGGGTCATTCTTGACCTGTAATAAGAGGGTTAAGCCTCATCTCTGAAACTGGATGAGTTTGTACTATTATGTGAAAAAAAATGTAATAGGCCACTCAATTAAAAGCAAAAATAAAGACAATTACAAACCAAGTACACTTAGAATACACAAACAACCGTTTAGGTAAACGTCAATAAACAAGTAAAGGTCAAGTACTACTTAAAGTACATTTCAGTGAAGTACTAAAAAAGTAGACTGAAAGTATACTTTCTTATTTTGGGTGTAAAAAAAAGTATACTAAATGCACACATATTTTAGTAATGGTATCCTAGCCAGGGATAAAAGTTTTTTTCGCCATTGTCAATTCGGGAACTGGGTGAAAACTTGAGTTGCCTACATTAACTACATCACTAGTATTTTTTTTTTCTTACTTTTGGGAAAGAGTGAACCTACAGCTGAACATATGTGCAGGGAAATAATGCAGCACAATAACAAAGTGAAGAAAAAATATATTATATTGACAGACTCATTTTTTTGAGTAAACTGGAATTTGAGCAAAACAAAGGCCATTTGTTTCAGTTCTTCGGAGAGAAGGTCCAGTGAAAGGCCAGCACAAGGAGACAACTCCACAGCAATCCTTTGCCAGATACAAAAAAGATTTAAAGACCACAAGAAATCAATGTTTCTCTCCCTCCTCAACCCCCACAAGTTTCAGACATATTACAAAACAAGTAACACTTTCTGTAAGTTAGCCTACACTGTAAAACCCAATAAGTTAAGGTAACTCAAACCAGTTAAGGAAACTGATTGCAACAAACCATTTAGGTTTAAAAACTAATCCTAATGAGTACTATGAACTTAGGGTGCTTTCACACCTACACTTTTGTTTTTGAACGTATCTCGTTTGCCCAGTTAGCGCAGTTCGTTTGGCATATATGAACAGGGCAATCGCGCTCTGTTCTGCGCCAAAGTAATCGCTCCGAGATCGCTTGAATAAGTTGGTCTCGGCTCAATTGAAACGAACCCTGGAGCGGTTCGATTGCAGTGAGAAAGTGATCCGATCCGAGCGCGGTTATATCACAGTGTTTTATGGATATGTAATAGGCTTACGGCTATATGAAGAGAGAATTATGAGTAGGGCGGGAAGTTTCGCGAGTCTCTGGATGCCCGCAAACGAGTGATGATCTCCCCGTAATCTCGCGTCTCCCTCCCGGTCCTCAAATAGGCATCATCGCGCACCCTTCTCACCCCTCCCCACCGCATCTCTCCTCAGACGAATCGCGCGCACACCTTGTCAATCACCACCAAACCACCACCTCTCCTGACAGCTGAGCAGGACACTGCAAAATAAACCCTGACACTCTGACTAATGTAAGGACAGTTTACTCGCACGTGACTTGTTTTAGCTCTTTTGGTCCGATTAGAAACTTTGCAGTGTGAAAGCGAACCGCACCAAGAGCAAAGAGCAACAATGTAACAATTGTAATCTCTGTTTCGGAACAGCTGAATCGATTCACAGGTGTGAAAGCACCCTTAATCTATTTGAGTACACAAAACAATTTTAGCACAGAAAAATCCAATAAATTAGGATAACTCAAACTAATTGAGTACTTTGAAACCCAATAACTCAAGGACACTTAAAAACTAATATATATGCGTACTGTGAACTTACTCAGTTTAAGTTGAAGTAATGAGATAATTAGTTAGTAGCATGTGTACATTGTTAATGCTCAATCAACCCTTACTTAATAACTTCATTTTCTCATTAACTTCAACACTGAGTTCAAAACTCTTTTTAAATGAGTAGAATTCACTTAAAGTAAATTTTGTGTAAACTATACTCATTTCATTTGAAAAACTTTAAGTTAAGAGAACATTATTTCATATGTTCTATTTATAAACAGACTAAATGTAATGTACAGTTTGCCATGACTAAATTTAAAGGCAAAAATATTACTGATGTACTTGATTTTATTTTAGCAGAAAATCGCGGTAACAACATGAAGCAGCTGTACACATTTGGGATTAAGCCCCTGCACTGCTTCTATTAAGTTCACATTCTTAGCCACAAAGTGAATTAAAATGTTTGCAAGAAATATAACTGGACAGACTAGACTTTTAGCTTTAGCCTCCATGGTGACAGAAAGGAATTTATTGTTGGAACTAAAAGTTCAGACAGCTAGGTTCTACAGTTTTTGGATATGAATACAAGCAACTCCTTTTCAGAACATTTAAAACAGCTAGCAACAGATGACTCCCGCTAATGGACATGCACTCTGAATATTACAAAACATATGGGGCAATATGGACTTTATTATGTATGGAATGATCCATGGTTTACCTTCAACATGATCTCAATAGTGAAAACTGTGGTAAAGACGTAGTCAGCATAGCCCAGCATCTATCACAGAACAGACAGACAGCAATCAGGAGTATAGCCATTGTCTTTGGTATGTTTTGGTAATGTAAATTTGCAAAAATGCTAACCTAAAAAAGCCATGTTTAAATTAACTGGTTTTCTTAAATATACTTAAAAATGATCAGCATCAATGAATCAAGCAAAATGCATTAATTTACATCAAGATCATTTATATGGCCTTAACTTGTTTGAAGGCAGCAATAGCAGGTTACAGTATAGTTTTCATATAATTATATTTGTGCTACTGAATTCAGGCAAATTATAAGTAACAACTGTAATGTGCATTTCAATGGGGTATATGCCGAAGCATGCTAATAGGACTTTTAATTTGCAAGTAACCTGGGTTAAGCGCTTCCGGCGAATTGAATGCCAATGCAAAATCTGGTGCTTTTAAGGTCTGTTTTCTTTAAAAATGAGCGATCTCCACTAGCTGAGTGATATCCGATTTAAAGTGGGTCTCAGATTGTACAAAAAGCACTGCATTAAATTACATTTCCCCCGCCATATCTTTATAATATGAGCATTTTTTTACCCTAGTATATTCAATGGAGCTTCTGCGTTAGCATGCCGATTCTGACGGGCACGTGCGAGTAAACAGCTTTTTGTCTCGTTTTACGCTTGAGCAACCAAATAAATGCTAAAGTTTATTTAACTGAATGTATTTTAATGACATTACAACATCGATGCTGTATAAGGAACCGTATAAAATGGAAAAAAGTTCACAACAGGTCACCGGAAGTGTATCAGCATGGGAACAGCACTAGCTCGGCATATACCCTATAATACAACTAAAAAAATAGACATTATCTTTATATAAAATATTCCCAATAACTTTAGGGTAGAAATAGAAAAGCTTCAAAATGTCAACCTTCTATTTGATTTAATTTTTGTTGTAAACAAGATCATGCTTTAACAGTTATTCTCAATGGGAATGATGTCTGGGAATAACAGAAACTACTGTGTTCTTAAAAACATCAGCTAGCAGGGACACTATTTTACGCTATCACTGTTTTAATTTTTGCAGTTTTGCATTTTTGAAGGTTCCTATAGAGGTATATGAACTTACAACATTCCTGACAGAATGTGTTTTGATTGGGTCTTCAGCAGCCAAGGAAAAACTACTAAGTATAATGAAGATGAGGATGAAGTTGGTGAAGTAATGATGATGAATGAGGTTGTGGCAGGCGACTCTGAGACTAAGTGAAAAAGGATCATTATTAGAAGGCATATTTGTAATAATAATAATATATACATAATACATACATATATTAGATATTTTTGGGATGTTTAGTAAAATGCATGAAATCTAAAATATGTGAAATTCTTAGCAATTTTGCCATGATATATATATATATATATATATATATATATATATATATATATATATATATATATATATATATATATATATATACAGTTGAAGTCAGAAATATTAGCCTCCTTTAGATTTTTATTTTCTTTTTTAAACATTTCCCAAATGACTTTTAACAGAGCAAGGAAATTTTCACAGTATGTCTGATAATATTTTTTATCTCTGGGGAAAGTCTTTTTTGTTTTATTTCGGCAAGAATAAAAGCAGTTTTTAATATTTTAAAAACCATTTTTGGGACAAAATTATAAGCCCCTTTAAGCTAATTTTTTTTCAGACAGTCTGCAGAACAAACCATATATATAGAATAACTTGGCTAATTACCCTAACCTGCCTAGTTAACCTAATTAACCTAGTGAAGCCTTTAAATGTCTCTTTAAGCTGTATAGAAGTGTCTTGAAAAACATCTAGTAAAATATTATTTACTGTCATCATGACAAAGATAAAATAAATCAGTTATTAGAAATTAGTTTTTAAAACTTACGCTAAGAAATGTGCTGAAACAATCTTCCCTCCATTAAACAGAAATTGGGGGAAAAAATAAACAAGGGCGCTAATATCTCAGGGGGGCTAATAATTCTGACTTCAACTGTATATATATATATACCAAACATGAAAACGCTAGTATACCACTTGACCTAAGTAAAATGGATTGTTTCAGAGACGTTAGATTTAAATATTCTATAATCTTTTTACTTAAAGTTAGCTTCTGTCTTAACCTTTTTAGATTGTGTTTCACCCAATAAAATCGAAAGGTATTTATATTTGCTAAATACATTTAAGCTTTTCAGTGCAACCACTAGATATCTTTTCTTTTTACTTTTGTCATTAAATAAACATTAAAGATAATTAACAAATCATAGACTTTTGATTTCACTGCATTTTACAAAATGTCCCAACTGTTTAATAACTGAAGTTGTACACATAAAGACACATACATAGTATACATGTACATTCCATAAGTGTAATATATTTTACACTGTAAAAATGCTTATTATATGGCAGGCCCGTAGCCAGGGGGCATTTGGGAGGTTAAAAAGACCCACCCCTCACTGACAAAGGTCCAGAATTTGTCCCATACATGTGCCCATTTTTCCTTTTTTGACTGTTATGCCATATTAAATTGTAAAAAAAAATTCTATGAAAATAACCCATCGAAGAAGGCTTTAAGACCGGAATCATGTGTTGGCTGTTGCTTCGGTGTGACTTCCCAAATACTGTCTAAGGACAGGTGAATGTGCTGCCAGTTGTTATTTGCCTAATAAATGACAATAGGCCAGTTTTTTTTTTAACTTTAACAGATTTCCATTTTTTTCTAAAAGATGTAATAACCTTGTATTTAAAAAATAAGTATTGTTTTCATGTTACTTTATTCTAAATCTTGTGACTGTGGTTATGATAACCATCCGACAAGCTAATCCAGCAAAACATTGTGTTCAATTGTCAGTAAAATGCAGCATTTAAACCTCATAATTAAATAGAAATTGAAGTGTACAACAGCAAAAAGGTCAACATTTAAAAAAAAAAAAAAACCTTACACTAGGCTGGCTACGGGCCAGAAAGGCCAACCTTTACAGAAAATCTGTGGCAAATTTTGAATGTAAAAAAAACATTTTGTTTTACATTGTTCTAGTTTACTGTGATACACCTTTTGTCCCTTTAAACCAGGGGTCTCAAACTCGCGGCCCGCGGGCCATTTGCGGCCCTCAGTGCAATATTTTGTGGCCCGCGCCGACCGCTGTACTCTGACAGAATCAGCGGAGCGGGGAGAGAGAGCGCTCCCCGCTCCGCTGATTCTATCCGTACACAGCGCGCTTGTCACTCAATGGGCGTTGTCGCACGCGTTCTGATCAGCTGTGTTGTCGCGCAGTACTCAAGAGCAGTGTTATCGCGCGCCTACTGAAGGGCGGGACCGAGGGTGTGTCGCGTCGCGGGGGCACTTTTGATCATTTTGGAAGGGCACTTTCTATGCAAGACTAAAAAGGCCATGTGCTCTGCACAGGTTGAGCCCTATGTGTGCACGTGCCTGCCCTGCATCTTCTATATATTGATATTATAGGTAGATACAGACTGGTACAGACTGATGTGACTGGAGTGGGGTGGGGGTGTTTTATTTATACATATATACGCCTTTTTTTAGGTGAGGGAATGGAAGTTTTGAGTGAGTTCCCCCACTTTTTTCCCTAGGACTTCAATAAGTCAAAGTACAGGTCTAGACTTAATGATGATCATCTTCAAGCCATACTGAGGGTCTCAACTGCTTCCGCTCTAAAGCCAAATGTGGTTCAGATTTGTGAGAAGAAGCGCTGTCAAGTCTCTGGCAGCAAGAAGTAGGCAAAAGATGCCATGTTCAGAAGAACTGTTCATAATCTTCACTCAATGTTCTATTAATGTTCAGGACACTTCATGTTCAGAAGAAATAATTAAAACTGTTAACAATGACATTTGAGGACTTTTTTTTGTGAAATCCCTTATGCGGCCCAGCCTCACCCAGACTTTGCCTCCTGCAGCCCCCAGGTAAATTGAGTTTGAGACCCCTGCTTTAAACCATACCCATGTCATTATACAACTTCTTGTCCCCGTAAAACACAAAGACTTGCACACAAACAAACACAAACACACATACCAGTTTTTCTTTCCAAGGACAAAAAAGGAACTGCCATCAGGAATAGGCACAATTTTCTCTTTGGGTTGGAAACTTTCGACCTTCATTGGAGTGCCTATACCTTTAGAGATCACCAAGATTCAAAAATCAATAAATGATAAAATAAACACATTAATCAATTGACATTGACCTGAAGTGGAAAGAATTTACCCTCAAGCCCTTCGATTGCTCTCAGCTCTTCATTCTCTTCCCAATCATCCATCTCATTCTGAACAAGAATAAATATGTTAAAAAGATTTAAAGCGTTTATTGTCCTATAAGTCCATTTCTTGAGATGAAGCAATTCCTTCCAACTCTTCTGTGAGATCTGAGGGCCTTGCTACATGTTAAACACTCAAATGGCTGAGAAGTCCAGCATTTCACACAGCTCAGAGGAAAGCAAGGATAACGACAATAAAAGACTAAAATAAATTATAATCAACAACAATTATAGAAATGCAAATTGATTTTTATCGATTAATAAATGTCATTGATCAAAAAATAATCATTATTCATCATTCATCAGAAAGTCCTTATCAACTTGAAAACATTACCCATATCCTATCCTTCTTTTCAAAAGCGAATCAAATTCTAATGAGTAAAATCCAATCATATCCCACATTAGTTCCTGCTTAATATTTTAATTATATTCTGAAATGTGTTGCATTATAGTTCACAAACGTTTTAAAAAAGAGAAAAAGTAATAGCAGGTTACCTACCCCAGCATCATCTTCCTCTCTTTCATCTTCATCTTCCCATTCCTCCTCCTCTTCCTTTTTCTCTCTTTAAAACAGGAACAACCAGATTGAGTTGTGAGAACATAACAACAACAAAGATCTGCACATTTTGCTCAACTCTTGTATGTGTTGGCATTTCCTACTCTTTTTTCTTTTTGCCACCATCTCCAGCCAAGTTATCCACAGCAATAGCCAAGAAGACGTTCAGTAAGATGTCTGGATGACAAAGTAAGTCAAGGAACACAAACAAAAAGGCACATACAAAAATGGCAGTATGGACAGGTTATGGATATGAAAATGTGGAGATCATAGATAAAATGAACTTTCACATTGAAAAGATACAGTTACCACAGACGAAAAGAATGACAAAGTAAATGCAGACAATCATATTGGGAAACACTGGTCCACCATAAGCCATGATGCCATCATACATGACGGAGTTCCAGTCCTCTCCTGTTAGGATCTACATAAGAAAAAGATTCAGTTAACATCTCCCATTTGTAACATTCATTCAATCATTTTCTTGTCGGCTTAGTCCCTTTATTAATCCGGGGTCGCCACAGCGGAATGAACCACCAACTTATCCAGCAAGTTTTTTACGCAGCGGATGCCCTTCCAGCCGCAACCCATCTCTGGGAAACATCCACACACACATTCTCATACACTACGGACAACTTAGCCCAGCCAATTCACCTGTACCGCATGTCTTTGGACTGTAGGGGAAACCGGAGCACCCGGAGGAAACCCACGCGAAGGCAGGGAGAACATGCAAACTCCACACAGAAACGCCAACTGAGCCGAGGCTCGAACCAGCGACCTTCTTGCTGTTAAGCGACAGCACTACCTACTGCACCACTGCCTCGCCCCATTTGTAACAAATGTAAGTTAATGTAAACTAATATGAATTATTACAAAACTTTATTTTTCTAAACTATCAATATATATATATATATATATATATATATATATATATATATATATATATATATATATATATTTATATATATATATATATATATATATATATATATATATTAGAGGTGTGAACCTATACTGGTCTCACGGTTCGGTTACGGTTATCATGCCTTCGATTCGGTTCAATGCAAAATATCTCGGTGCATCACGGTGCTTTGACGATGCTTTCCATATACAGTGTTACATTTTAGAGGGGAGACTATAACAAGCTGTCTGTATAAACACACAGACACACAGAACCACACTGTCTCTCATTCAAACACATACATAAACATAGACAGCACCAAAGAAACAAACACAAACACACACGCACATACACACACTTAAGCCCTCGCAAAAGGGAGAGCTCGCGCTGAGCGGAGCAGAATAACAAAAAAAAAAAAAAAAAAAAAGAAGCACTTTTCCGACGGTCCCTTACTGAGAGCTCCTCTCAGCGTGAGCTCTCCCGGCTAAACACATATTGCGAGGGCTTAAACGGAGCAGTGCTCGTAATGTCAAGCGAAAAAAAAGAAAGACAGCTGTGAAACATAACCAGCTTTGTCTTTTTGTAGGAAACACACTTTAGATCTTTTTAGGGTAAGAGGTTTTTGAGTTATTGCCGTCTATAACTGAATGTGTGTCAGGAATATCGAAAACAAAACCAACTGAACCTTTCTGGTGCCCCCCTGGATATAGAGCACCCTTAGCATTTGCCTATGGTGCCTATGCCACGGACCGGCCCTGAGTTGGCTGAGTGTTGTAAATACCCGCGCTCACCTCCCTCGCGACAGAGCGCATAGGAGATAAATGACGTCAGTACATAATAATCGGTTATGAGTATTACTGTACCGATACCTTATTGTCCACGTCTGTCTATATATATATGGGCATCCGCTGCGTAAAAACTTGCTGAATAAGTTGGCGGTTCATTCTGCTGTGGCGACCCCGGATTAATAAAGGGACAAAGCCAACAAGAAAATGAATGAAGTAAGAGCAGAATTTGAATAGATTATGACAATTTGATTGTATAGATTTTGACAAATAAATTGAATAGATTATGACAATTACAGTGGTGCATGACTGTCAGCTGACATACTCCATAGTGATAAACAGACGCTTTTTCCCAAACGAACTCTGTACACATGATTTGAAGCGGAGCGAAAGTCTGGGTTTTGTGTGCGTATTTGAACAGACACACATAATTGACAATAATAGTATCTAAAGATGTCAATCTTGGTTTTTTTTTTTTTTCAAACACAACTAATTTTGTCCTAAATAAGCGTAAAAAAGTAAGGAAAGTAATTAAATGCTTTTATTCTAACTTTTTTTATGTAATCTGTTATTTAATGTAATCAAACGAAAAAATCTAAATAAATAAGAGATTCATTCGCTGCTCTTTAATCAAAATGAGTAAGTTATGAGATTTGATAGCTTGATTCTATTTCATTATAATAGCTATTAATTTTAATAGGCTGAATTCTTTGCTAATGTATTTTCTCCTAATGTGTACTATTTTTTTTTCTTTTGTAAATAATAATCAAACATATTACCAACCATTTAACTGTTTATTTACAAGAAACAGCTCCAATTGAACATATTTAGCAATTTGGGATTTTTTTAAGGCCAAGGGGGGGTCAGGTCGGGGGAATCCCTTATTGTGGTGGGCATATCCCTTATTTTCACATCCCAATGTTGACAGTTATGCTTAGCAACCACTCAGAAAAACTTAGCATCCACCTAGCAACACCTTAGCAACCACTCAGAAGACCCTAGCTACCACCTAGCAACACCTTAGCAACAGCCTAGCAACCACTCAGAATAACTTAGCAACCGCCTAGTAATACCTTAGCAACAGCCTAAAACACCATAGCAACTACTTAGAACACCCTAGCAACCACCTACCAACACCTCAGCAACAACCTAACAACCAATCAGAACACCCTAGCAAACACCTTAACAACCACCTGGAACACTCTAGCAATGCCTAAGCAACCACTCAGGCCACCTTAGCAACCGCCTAGCAACACCTTAGCGACCACTCAAAACATCCTAGCAACCACCAAGCAACATCTTAGCAACCACCTAGCAATACCTTAGCTACTGCATAGCAACCGCCTAGCAACATCTTAGCAGCGACCGAGCAAAACCTTAACAACTGTTTAGAACACCCTCAACTGAAGTTCACACCCTGAACTCAGAACGTCCTGGCAACCACCTAGCAACAGCTTTTCAATTACCTAGTAACCACTCAGTACATCTTAACATCTGCCTAGCAATGCCTTAGCAACCATTTAGAACACCCTAGCAACCACCTAGCAACACCTTAGCAACCACCTAGCACATCCTCGCAATGCCTTAGCAACCACTCAGAACAACCTAAGAACCACCTAGCAATGCCTTAGCAACCGCTCAGTGGTTGACTTAGCAACTACTCAGAATACCCAAGCAACCACCAAGCAACACCTTAACAACTACCTGGAACCGACCACTCAGAACCAACCTCTCAAAACACCCTAGCAACTGCTTAGCAATCACTCAGAATACCCTAGCAACCACCTAGCAAGAAACATGCCAACCCATACGGGAAACTTGCTAACCGATATGCAGTTATCCATCTATGCCAACTGCTTCAAACTTCCTAAAAACTACTTAAATTATTTAATTTTTAAAGCTACTTTAAACTTTCAGACTAGGCTTTCTCAAGACACCATAAAGTCTGTCTGCAAACTTTACTTTTCTAGTAAATTTTTATAATACAGATTATACCACAATTATACAGAAATCACATACGATTACGTAAATTGTAACACTGCTTAGAGACGGATGAAATTACCTGGAAACAGGTGAGTAAGGCAGATGGAAAAGAGTCGAAGGTGCTTCTTTTCATTTGAGTCTCATCAAAGTTGAACTTTCCACCGAAAAGCTGCATTCCCAGGAGAGCAAAAATAATGAGGAAGAGGAATAGCAGCAACAGCAGGGAGCAAATGGCCTTCATAGAGTTCAGCAAAGAGCCCACCAGGTCTGAGAGGGCAGCCCAGTGTCTAAAAAGAAATGTTAGCAAATTCAGCACGTTCAAAATACTCCTGAAAATAAACATGGCTTTAAAGATGCATTACATGGTTGTCATTATAGTTGAATACATTTAAAATAAATCTACATTTTTAAAGAGCCCCTATTATGGGTTTTTGAAAATGATCTTCCATGTAGTGTGTAACAGCACTAAGTAAAGTGAAATATCCAGCTAAAGCTTATATCTGAAAGTGCAGTGTTTAAAACTATTGATTCATTCATAAAAGAGTCAACTCATAGTGCTTCAAATGAATCGTCTTTAGCTGTTTCGGTGTGACGCTAATACGAAACTTAAGCCCCGCCCAATTGTTGAGCACGCAAATCCAGGAAAATTTAAACCTGCAGCCCCGCCCACAAACACAGTAGCAAAGAAAAAGAGGAAGACAAACACTGTAGCAGATCCCGGTTGAATCAAGTCATGAAGACGATGTGCTCAGCTGGATATTATTGGAAGTGTGAGGGGAAAGTTATTTTCTCTACCCAAAGGTGAAACTGAAGAGTCAGTGGCTGACATTTGTTTTTGCAAAAATGTCTCAGCATTATAGCCCAGCCTTGCGATGTTTGAGTGCTTCTGGAATCTACATGCTTTAGTTAGGCCGTTTGTTGAAGGAAGGATCAGAAAAGACTATTGATGTGGACTTTGTCAGAGCTTTGCAGGAACTTTATCGGTACATGGATCATTGGATAATATATCAGTTTCTTACTCCATTTCACAAGTGAAAGTAAAAGCATTACCATGGTTGCCTTCTTGTTTTCTCTAGCTTGCAAATTATGTATTTAATTGTGTTTTGTTACTTGTAACCACTTGTAGTGTATATGGTTAATTCTTTATATTCTCATATCAGGTCTAATGCCACGTTGAGAACGCAACGCGTGCCACTTTGTTTACAGATTTAAATGCGTTTGTACACTCTCGTTCCACTGCCGTGTCATTGCTATGGCCACCGTCAACTGTTCTTACACACATGCAGCGGTCATGTTTTAAAATAGTTCAGCTTTTGCGGCTGTGTCGATTAATACCGAATGTGTGTGTTTAACTGTTGCTGGTGTTTAACTGCATTGGGTTCACACACACACACAAGTTTTCCGGGATAAATAAAAAAATGAATGAGTGGCTGGGAATGGGTCTGAAATATGGGAGACTCCTGGGAAAAACAGAAGTGTTGGCAGGTATGTACCAATACCTTATTATTACCTTATAAATACCTTATTATTGATAAGTAAAATTGTTGATATGCCGTGCTGGGCATTTTATTGTGTCTCTCACTGAACGCTATCGTCCAAAATACAAAATACATTTTTTATCTGTAATAATAATAAAAATTGAGAAAAGGCTATGTTTATTTTTATTAAGCTTGGCTGAATATTGTTAGCCTGATTTGCCTGAAGTTTGTGCTAAATTACTCATCTAAAACTGAAATAAAATTAAATGCAAAGCTATTATAAAAGAAAAATGACATACAATAACAACCCTGCAGGCACAGGATGTCATATTGACATTGTACTTCAACATACTACAATATTGTGGGGGCATTGAATAATGTTTAAAAATGAAAGTTGGGTTGATGTCATTGGATTTTGGTTATTTTCCAAGACAACCTAAATTCAACCAAATATAGACATAAATTGATGTCGTTATTGAATGTCAAAATACTGTCCTTAGATGCTGGCTAGGCATTGAATGGCCGGGGATATGGCAGGGACCAGGCCGTATCCTGAGCTGCTGCTGCGCTGATGGTCATGGGGAGTGGAGAACATGAGTCTGATTCCAGCGACGTTCCAGGGACAGACGAGTCTTCGCTGAGGCCACCTTCTAGCCTCCACCACGGTGACTGAAGCTCTGCACAAGACTTTTGGCCAGCGGAGAAATTAAAATGGTCGTGCCCAACTAAGTCTGGTTCTCTCAAGGTTTTTTTTCTTCACTCCTATCAGGTGAAGTTTTTTTTCCCTCTCCGCTGTCGCCACTGGCTCGCATGGTTCAGGATTGGTAGAGCTACGCATCGATGAATTTGCTCTTCAGTGTTTGAACTCTCAGTAATGATTTTAAATCACACTGAACTAAACTGAACTTAAACACTAAAAACTGAACTACACTGTTCTAGTTACTATGACCATTTATGTGAAGCTGCTTTGACACAATCTACATTGTAAAAGCGCTATACAAATAAAGCTGAATTGAATTGAATTGAATTAAACTGAATTTTGGTCACCTAATGTCATGACCAAAATCTAACCTAATACTAACATCTTATGATGTTGCGTGCCTGTTGGGAAGAGCTGGATACACATTTGAGTAGAATCACCTTGTGACTTTGAAGATACGGAGCAGACGGACACAGCGCAGCACAGAGATTCCAATGGGTGGGATCACCTCCATCTCCACAAGCACAGTTTCCAGAATTCCACCACACACCACGAAACAATCAAAACGATTGAAGAGTGCCATGAAGTAGATCTGAAACCCGAAGCTGTAAATCTTCATCAGCATCTCCAGCGTAAACAGAGCCAGAAGGATCTTATTTGCTCGTTCTGACACAATAGAGAGACAACATTTAAAACATGGTCATTATGTTCATAAAGGCAAACCCTTTGGTGATACTGTAGGGTCACACACATACCCTGTATGTCAGTGAGCCACTTGGGCTGGCCATAATGTTCAGAAGCGCTGGCAGCAGTGTTGAGGAACACTAGTAGTAGCACCAGCCAGTAGAAATTGGTGGATTTGACTGCAACCCGACAGTTCTTCCTCATAACTACATTCAAGTGGTACAGTTGCTCACTGAGGATGAGAACAATAATTAACAGTTGCAAGAGTAAAATGTGCAAATTGAATACTTTAAGAATGTGAAATGATTCCTAAAAAAAAAAACATTTGTGGTGTGTGGAAAATGCTAGTCTGCTGGTCCTCAACAGCTCAACATGGAAAGTTTTTACTTCAGTTTTTCCAGCAATTACTCAAACACTTACCAGAAACTTATAGCCATCAGTCGTGCCCTTAAGAAAATGAAAGAAACTGTATTAATCCTCAGTTAAAACTTATTTTATAGAATATGTGAAACAACAAAATGAATGTTGTGCTCACATTATGGAAGCACAGCAGCCATTGTCATCATCCAGGAATGCTTCAAACTCCGAATCAGAATCAGATTCTGTACAAAATATTGTGTTTAGATGTAATAATATAAAAAAAAAAACCTATAACTTTTTACATATCAAACATATATATTACTTATAAAAATATGCTCAGTACCTCCATCTTCACTATGCTTGTACCAGCCATATTTCTTCATCATCTTTTTCTTGGCCACCACAGCACCTGTAGTTAACACAATAAATGAATTAAAATGAAATGAAGCATACATACTAAAATGTCCTTTATAAACTAAACCTTTATAAATAGAAAAAGAACATTTAAAGTGCCCTCTTGCACCCCAGACCACTGGACAGTACACTGTAGCTAAGGGACTCTCTGTACTGTGGCATTAAGGCAAAATTTCAACTGCTTCAAGCATCTGTAAAATGGATTTTTTTCATCTTAAAAATGTTGCCAAACTTCGATGCGGAAAAGCTTATTGATGCTTTCATAACTTCTCGATTAGACTATTGTAATGCATTACTAGAAAAAAATCTAAATCAATTGCAGGTGGTAGAACGTTCTCATATCTGGCACCTAAACTCTGGAGCAGCCTTCCTAGCACAGTTCGGGAAATAGACTTAGCAATCACTTAGAATACCCTAGTAACCACTTAGCAAGAAACATGCCAATCCATACGGGAAACTTGCTAACCGATATGCAGTTATCTATCTATGCCAACTGCTTCAAACTTCTTAAAAACTACTTAAATTATTTAATTTTTAAAGCTACTTTAAACTGTGAGTTTAAAACTAGATTAAAGACACATCTCTTTGCATTAGCATACACATAAAATACAAATGCTTTAAACTCCAAATCCTCTAGAGGATTTCTAGTCTGAGTTGTTTAGGGCAACCGGAGCCAGGAAAACTTCCCAAAAGCATTATAATTTGAACAGCATCTGCGCTTATGTTAGTCTGTTTTTATTATTCCCGAGGTTTCCATAGTCCTGGATCAGGCAGTATCCTGAGCAGCTGCTGTGGTGGTCATGGAGGAGTGGAGAGCACGATATTGATTCTTGTAAGACCCCAGTGACAGACGAGCCTTCACATTGATCCTGAAGGGCCAGCCTATACACCAGCCGGTGACCTCTCATATCTGCAGCTTCTCTATCTCCATAGACATCCAGCATTCTCTAGCCTCCGGCGCCAAGACTGCAGCTCTGCACACAAAGTTTGGCCAGAGGAGAAATGGACGTGCCCAAATCAGCCTGGTTTTTCTCAAGGTTTTTTCCTTCACTTTCGTCAATTAGTGAAGTTCGTTCCTCGCCACTGTCACCACTGTCTTGTATGGTTCAGGACTTGTGGAGCTGCGCATCGATGGATTTGCTCTTCAGTGTTTGGACTTTCAGCAGTGAAAATTAAACCACACTGAACTGAACTGAACTTAATCTCTGACAACTGGACTGACACTGTTTCAATTTACTATAATCTTCTATGTTAAGTTGCTTGACACAATCTACTGTACATAAAAACGATTACATCCGTCTGTAAAGCGCTATAAAAATAAAGATGAAGTGAATAGAAACTGCTTTTTGCTTGCTAAACAAATTCAACACAAATCTTAGTGTTTAAAGAATATTTGCACATGCCACAAAGAGAAGCAGTGTATGTAACCATTTACCATGTTTTAAAAAGTGTATCAAAGAATAAAAAAATGTGGTTGACATGACAATGTTCCAAAAGCATAATACCTTCTATTATTATATGTCTTTTAAACTATAAATAAAAAATTATACTTCCCATCTACCTTTAGACTGAATGTTTTGTTCCGAAACAGGGATTGAAATTGTTACAATGTTGCAATTTTTGGTGCGGTTTGCATTCACACAGCAAAGTTTCCAAATGGACCGAAACAGTTCACATGCAAGTAAACTCTCCGCGCATTGATTAGAGTTTGACAGTTTATTTTTTAGAGTGCCACGAATTCCGATACCCACAGACATATTCACCAACTATAAATCAGAGTTTTAATCAGAATGTCTCAGAAGACTTTCTGAGACATTGTCTCATTTGAGTTGGCAAGGGTTTTAAAAATCAGTCTGTTGAATCAATCAATGTATTGCCCATGACTTTTTGCAACATTTAATTATTCTTTCATTCATTCATTTTCTTGTTGGCTTAGTCCCTTTATTAATCCGGGGTCGCCACAGCGGAATGAACCGCCAACTTATCCAGCAAGTTTTTACGCAGCCACAACCCATCTCTGGGAAGCATTTACACACACATTCACACACACAATTATACACTACAGACAATTTAGCTTACCCAATTCACCTGTACCACATGTCTTTGGACTGTGGGAAAAACCGGAGCACCCGGAGGAAACCAACGCGAATGCAGGGAGAACATGCAAACTCCACACAGAAATGCCAACTGAGCCGAGGCTCGAACCAGTGACCCAGCGACCTTCTTGCTGTGAGGCGACAGCACTACCTTCTGCGCCACTGCTTCGCCCAACATTTAATTAGTTATTTTAAAATAAGAATAATACAATTAATAAATTTGTTTGGATTATTAATTATGAGCTTTAAAAACATTGGCTAGAATTATGCATTTTAGGCTTACATTATAAAGAGAAATAACAAATGAACTAAGACTGCAGTCAGATCATGAAGCAGATGTTTTTTAATCTTTCTTTCGAAGTGTAAGTACAGAAATGAACCAAACAATAGGCCTAAAACAAATATTATGAGATTAAAATTTGGAAAAAATATCTGTGTCACGATCACCAGCGATCGTAACTCCTAAGATCACGCTTCCTCATTGTGACTGATTACACTTGCACCACCTGAGGATTGTCAAAGACTGATTTAACACACTATTTAAACAGCACACTTACTCATTCCCATTGCTGAGTGTTGTTTACTGTTAGTGACAATTCAATGTGTTTCCTTAGTCTTGTTCTTCCGTGTGTTTACCTTAGCCTTGTTCCTAGTTATCCCTGTCTGCCGCCTGCCTACCGACCTCTTGCCTGTTATAGTGACTACGATTCTGGATTTGCCTTTATATCTCTGTTTGCATCTGTGTTGACCATTGCTTGCCTGACTGCCGAATAAAACCTGCATGTGGATCCTCACCTCAGTTGTCTCTGTCTCTCCCTGTGTTACAATCAAATGTTCATTTTGGTCAATTTTTTCACCTCATTCAGGCTCAGATCTCAGACCGATTGTTTTGGCGTGGATCAAAGCGCGAATGCTATGTACACATATACCAAACAAATTAAGCTAACAGGGCAAACACGCCAGGTTCTGAAACAAATGTTGAGGTGTAAAAGCAAAAAAAAATACAAAAGTAAACAAAAGTTGACTTTATATTTTTGTTGAGTGTAAAAATGGGCCAATTGCTCATTGTCAACTTTTGATTTTTTTTTTATTTTGATTGTCATGTGATAAAAATAAGAAATAAAGTTTATATTACGCTTATTTCCATCTTCATCCATATCCTCAGCTTCAATGAGCCAGTCCATGTAGCCGATCATGTCCTCCTCCATCTGCTGTTTCTCCTGAGCCTTCTGCAGCTCACCGCGACACACTGCCTTCTCTCTCTCTTTAGAGAACTCGCTGGGAGGTAAAAAAAATATTACAATGTAAGCCTTAAAGGATGTAACCATAATCCTTCTTAATGCTATTTTATAATTTCACTAATTTAGTAGAATATTATAAAACATTTTATTAAAAGGTGTAAGAGCTGGAATTACTCACCCGCTCAGCACACCCAATACAAGATTCAGGACAAAGAATGAACCAAAAATGACCAGAGACACAAAATAAACCCAAGGCAACTCAAACCCAATAGAATCGTTCATCTGAAAGAAACATGGTAGATGAGAGAGAGAGAGAGAGAGAGAGAGAGAGAGAGAAAAAAAATTCATTTATTTTAGTTTCTTGAGTGGCACAGTTAATAAAAAACTAATCAGACGACATGTGCTAACATTACTATAAAAAGTCCTGGCTGTGGAACTTGACCTGTCTCCAAAAGCGAATGTTTGACACATTTTAAAGTGCAAAATGTGACAATGGAGACCCTATACTGTTGCCCACATTTAGGGCTCTATTTTGACGGTCCATGTGCAGAGCGCAAAACGCAGGGCGCAAACGCTTTCAGGGCGTGTCAGAACGCATTTTTGCTAATTTAAGGATGGGAAAATCGGCTTTGCGCCGTGGCGCATGGTCTAAAAGGGTTGAGTTTATTTTCTTAATGAGTTATAGGTGTGTTTTAAGAATAAACCAATTAGAGCCTTATCTCCCATTCCCTTTAAAAGCCAACAGTGTTACACCATAAGCGCATTTTGACGTAAAGTAAGTTCACTTTCGCTTTTGCTCTCATGGCTAGGGAAACCTTTACGCACAGACACCAATTAGCCTATAAATAATTAATTTTGTTTGTTAAGCGCAAAGATTTGTTTCAAAACTATTTCTAAATTTAGTTCTAATTTCTAGCAAACGAATAAATGAATAATAATAACCAAGTGTGATCAAAATACTGAGTTATTTCCAAATACACATGCTGTGCCCCATATGGTCTAAAACCTGACAGGTGGTCAAATCTAAGCTTGTTTTTAATAAAACAAATATAAATATGGATATAATAAATAATACTGGTAATAATAATAACATTATACAAAAGCAAATTGAATAAACTGAAAAAGTCTCCCGAGATGAAGAAAGTAAGGCAGTGGTTTTTAAATCTTCATGTAGGCTAGAAATTAATATGTTTGCTAATATTTTAATCATTTATATTTATATCCTGTATATATCCTTATATATATATATATATATATATATATATATATATATATATATATATATATATATAAAAAATATATATATTTGCGTATTGCTTTGCATCTTGTGTGTAGTGTGTATGCCAGGCACACTTTGCGGCAGACAATAGACCGACTTTGTTCTGGTCTAAAGATCAGACTATTCACAGTTTCTTTAAATAGCAACGCGCCAAAACACGCCTGCTTTTTTAGACCAGAACGCCTATGGGCGCACATTTGAGCGCAAATGCATTGCTATTTAAACAGCGTAGCGCAACACCTCAAAATGACCCTTGCGCCGAGCTAAAAGTAGCAAAAGAGTGTTGCGCCACGCCTTGCGCCACATTGCGCCGGCTGTATGATAGGGCCCTAAGACTTGTTTGCTAGAAGAATGGGACCAAATTACTCCTTAAACACTTAATTACTTGGTGTCTTCAGTCCCTAAACATTTTTTAAGTGTTGTGAAAAGAAATGGCGACATTACAAAGTGGTAAATGTTTTACTGTTCCACTTCCAACCTTTTTTTAGATGCATTGTAAGAACCAAAATTGGTATATGATTTTAGCTAGAATGCACAAACACCAATTTGGTGCTTTGATTCGAAGACCTGTCAGTGAGTGAAAACCAGGACTAAAATTGTCCATTGTGAATTCGGCATAAGACATAGTGCACAGATTATATACATGATGTGGTAAATGCCATACCCAGTAAAGGACATCAGTCCAGCCCTCCATTGTAATACACTGGAACACAGTGAGCATGGCAAAGAAGATATTATCAAAGTTGGTGATGCCTCCATTTGGTCCCTCCCATCCTCCACGACAATCTGTGTTATTGCCTATACAGACGCGTCCGTGACCGGCAAAAGCACATGGTGTTGGATCATCCTCCACCATAAGTTCTTTTCACATTGAAACAAACACAATTCACATGATTAACATTTAACAAACAAACAACTTTAACATTTAAAACAAAGTGCTAATGAATACACTTTTGTATGAGCAAGTGCTTGCATTTCTCACCTGTCCCTACATAAAAGCAGGTCTTGTGCATCCTGCCTATAAAAAGCTCCAGACCAATGATTGCATATATGATGATGACAAACATGACGAGCAGACCAATATGGAGCAGAGGCACCATGGCCTTCATGATCGAGTTTAACACAATCTGCAGACCTGCACACATCACAGCCTAAATCAGGATCACTGTACACATTAGAAATAAATTCATTCAAACTATGTGCATAAATATCTATTCGGAATTACAGAAGAATGCACACACTTACTCGGCACACCAGACACTAGACGAAGTGGTCGCAAAACTCTAAAAGCTCTCAGGGCTTTGACATCCAGACCACCTGGTTTACCGGCTGCATGATGGCTGTCTGCTTTTTGACCGTCTCCTCCCATTTCAGCTATCACACTGAAAAGACTGCAAAAGGGACACACAAACTTGGTATCCTCTGACTTTAAATGTACATCTCAATTATGTATGCAAAATGGTTCCCTGAGTCGTGAAACAGACACTGCACTGGGAGCTGATACTATTGGGAATGCCCACTGAATGGTGGTGTTTGAAGCATGTGTGCAATCACAACATTTTTGTTGGTGGATGAAGAGGTCGGGTAAATTAGCGAAGTTGTTTCCTACCCTGGTTCTGCAGTATCCGGCACAGCACACATATTTTATACATCTCTCAGTATAAGTGGTTTCCTCTCTCTGGGACACAGCAGTGCTTCAGACATTGGGAAAAAGGTAAAAATTTTCCTCTATCGATACAATGCCTGCCCCCAAAAAACTGTAAAAGGACACTTTTTATACTCTTTAAGGAGTGAAAAAATAGCTAAAATTGACCTAATATAATTAATATAAGTACATGTTCATTAAAGTACATAAATACATGTTCAGTTTATTAAATATTATAAACTTGTGCAGGGCACAGGGCAAGACACATACAGATCTTAGCACACTTTTAGCAGCAATGGTGTATTCAGAGGATTTGCACCACTGATCAGCCTATCCGCTTGTTAAGTGTGACGTCACGCGAAGCGGCTTCCGGGTCCAAGCGCTCTATTTAACTGAATGGGGAGACTCATGAAATGGTAATAATAAACGTTTACAAAGCAATTTAAGGCTTTCGAAAATCACAGTCGCAATATATATGTCCATGCCTAATATCCGATGGCCAGACAGTGATTAATTTTTTATAATTTGTAAAAATTTTGGTATTTGTTATGCAGCAAGCCCAGAGATTGTTGTGTACACTATAACTTTATATAAAATTAACTTTAATGTGTGATAGGAATAAAACGTGATCATAAACGAATGATTTACGAGCGGCTTGGACCTGGAAAAAAGTATACATGTGTCACAAACACGTCACTACTTAACAACAAGCGGATATAAAATCTAAGGGCCTGAACTGAGCATGATGAGATATAATAAAGTTGCTTTTTAAGCAGGATAGGGCAACTGAAAAGGCACGAATATATATTTAAATGATTCAAAAATATCATAGTATACATATATATATATATATATATATATATATATATATATATATATATATATAAATATTTGCAATACAAAATTGCACACATTTTTCTACAAGGGCTTCTTTCTTCCTTCCTTTACCAACTAATTATTAACTACAAGTATTAGACAAGTAGATTACTAGTAGGCCTATGTGCATATGTTCACACACAGTACAAAAGCTGATATGTGGACTACTTGTGCACTTAACATGTTACACATAACAGTATATTTTTATATATTTAAATTTGGCCATTTCAGTTACATTTGGTTTTTAAGTGATACACATAGAATACTTTTGAGCACACACATTGCAAACAAGCACGCATCTTCCTCAAGACAAAGAATCTGAGTATGTGATGACACATTGTCATTTTATGGTTTAGGTGACAGTATGTTATATAAGCTTCAGACAATGTGACACCAAAGGGTATCCCCAACAGTGTCAGGTCCTGATGCAGTGTTGAACTTTTACTTTTTTATAAAAAGGAAGTGAGTTATGTACATTTTTGTTGAAAATGTGTCTTCAATTAACTATTTAAATTCATAGTTTAATAGACTGAAAGTATATTAAACATCTTAGACATACCCAACAATGACAATGATAAAATCCAGCAAGTTCCACCCGCTGCGGATGTAGGCACTGGGATGCATGACCAGACCATATGCCAGAATCTTTGTGAAAGTTTCGATGGTGAAAATGACCAGAAACACATACTCCACTTGTTCCTAGGAATAATTTAGGCATTAAAAAGGGAAACGTTACATCTTTGTTTGTTGAGCTGAAATCAATTTTCTTAACACAATGAGGGTAATAAGGGATATCTCCAGTACAGCTAGTTGTGAATGATTTTTGTAACTTTTGTATGAATACATTTTACAGTGCACTCTTGACATCAAGTTACTATGTGCAGTGTATTCTCTAATATTTGTGAGTGAGTGATAAGTGTGTTTTTATATCTTTTTTTTTTTAATGAAGGAAGTGCATTGGCATACTGTAAATAGATTATTACATTATTTAAGAAATCTGGAACCAACCCTTACAGGAAACTTGTGGCCAAACTGAAATGTCAAAAGACTACATAAAGCAGTGTTTCTCAACTGGTGGGTCGCGACCCAAAAGTGGGTGGCGGGTACATTTTTAGTGGGTCATGGAGTGTGTGGTCAAAAAAAAACTAAAGTAAAATTTTTTACTTATTTTGCTTATACCGGACTTTTATTTTGAAATTAGTGCACAACAACCCTACCGTTTGACATGTGAAATACCATTTAATTATAGCAACAAACATGTTGAAGCACAAGTATGACCGCGAATATGTAAAGTATAGATTTACATATATTGACAACAAAAAAGACCTAAAGCCTCAGTGTCATATGTAGTGAGGTGCTCTTATAAGAGAGCATGAAACCTTCTAAATTAAAACGACATTTAGAAACCTAAAAACATGTTTTATTTACAGTTCAGTTTAGTTCATAGTAACTGAACATTTCCTTACCCTAACCACTGTTAACAGTATTTGTCGCTTTTACTTTGTAATATTTCTATAATTTGATTTATTTTTTTAAAATGACAGCAATAAAATATTGTTCATTTGTAAGTCTCTGTGAATGTCTTGTGATTTATATGTCACTACTTGTGTATGTTAACAAATAAATACAAATTAATTTTAATTCCTAAAATTGTATTATAGTTCCTAAAATTTAGGTTGCGACTTGATGACCATGTAAAAATGTGGGTCCCATGGCCAAACCAGTTGAGAACCCCTGCCATAAAGTATGATTCTGAAGCGTCATCAGGCATGTCCATGTAAACCACCATAATACAGTACAACTACAGTAGGTCATCATGTCATCGTTATACAAAAAAAACTGTCTTTGTAAACCACCAAAACCAGTCCACACACACTGTTCAATTCACCTACTTTCCCCTGTAACACATTGCTGAGCTCATTAGCTTTCTGCCCTCCTGACCCTCTCAGCAAGCTAAAAAGCTGAAGACTGGAGGTTCTCTGGGTAACCTATACATTAAATCCAGATTAGCATCTTTACTCTGAATACACTATTGACTTTAAATAAAAAAACATCAATACAAACTTTGGCTAAGCTGAAAATCACAGTACGAACAAACTGTAAGATAGATATTCAGAGGTGTTAGTGCAAAGGGATTAACTGAAATACAGCTAGACACTGTTGTACAAGAGAAACAACAGGCAGACGGGCAATATAAAAATGAAACTGTCAAATTAATAAAGCAAAAACAAGCACAGATGGTTTGGAAACATTCATAGCACAACTGCAGTCAGAGCAGACTATGTCTTGTGCAAGGGCAATGAACAAGCTGCCATTGAGATAGAACAGATGGTGAGTTCTCTTATCCTGTTTGGTATTCAGAGCTGTCAGTCAAACTTCAAGCCTAATACAATTACAATACCCCCTCCACCCCACCTTAACGGGAGCTGTAAAACACTTCATAATCATATTTTATTTGATCCCTACAGTTTAATATGACAACCATTAAAACTACCATCAAGGGGAAGTTGTTAAACCTTTAAGTATACTTCCTGTAATACACTCCCTTAAACTTTGAGCATGTGAAAAGTTTGACTGTGCGAACTGCTACAAAGCATACAGTTATATATAGTAAAAAGAGAGTCTTCACAAAGAATGTCCTGTCACAGCTTATGCTTCTAAAATGTAAAATAAATTGACATGTAAAAAAAAAACTCACCAGATTGTGGTTGGTGGCATTGGAATCATCCTCAGGAAACGGTTTGGACACACCAAGAGCAACACAATTTGCGAAGATGGCCAGTAAAATGAATATATCAAATGGCTTAAGGGTCTAAAGTCAAGGAAATAATTTCCTTAAACTTTATTTTAGTTACCAATTCTCACTTTTAACCAGTGGCTTTTTACCTTAGCTTGTATTTATAAAGTACATATTATGCTTGGTCTTATTCTGCCTCTCTGATTCTTAATAACTATTAATAAGAGGGAAATAGGAGTTTATTGAGCTAATAGTCATAGTTAATGGTTTGTTAATAGCAAGAATTGTACCTTAAAATAAGGTGTGACCGAATATGCCTAAGACTGTATAATGTCTGCACACATATTTGACAAAAGGATATTTCCACTCCACTAGAGCCAGAGCTGCCATGCGAATAGGATTGCTGAGAGTAAGGCAGCACAGAGCTCTGGGTGCACGCAAGGCTGATTTGTTAGCTTGGGTGTGCTTCTTGGCTCCTCCAGCTCTTTTTTGTCCTGCAGAACCTGTTGAGTTGAGTGTGTCCGTTTTGCTGGGGTCCAAGCCAACCCCATCTGAAATAATAAAGAGTTTTCCAATAAATTATGTATCTGCAACAAATTATATTCATTATTTTAAATGAATATACAAAATGCTTATGCTTTTATTTACTTAATAGAACACACACACACACACACACATATATAAATATATATATATATATATAAAGATATATATATATATACACAGTTGAAGTCAGAATTATTAGCCCCCTTCAAATTTTTCTTCTTTTTTAAATATTTTCCAAATTATGTTTAACAGAGCAAGGAAATTTTCACACTATGTCTGATAATATTTTTTCTTCAGGAGAAAGTCTTATTTTTTTATTTCGGCTAGAATAAAAGCAGTTTTTAATTTTTTAAACACAATTTTACGGACAAATTATTAGCCCCTTTAAGCTATATTTTTTCTCGATAATCTACAGAACAAACCTTCATTATACAATAACTCGCCTAATTACCCTTACCTGCCTAGGTAACCTAATTACCCCGGTTAAACCTTTAAATGTCACTTTATGCTGTATAGAAGTGTCTTGAAAAATATCTGGTAAAATATTGTTTACAGTCATCATGGCAAAGATAAAATAAACCAGTTATGTATGTATGTATGTACTGTATGTATGTATATATATATATATATATATATATATATATATATATATATATACACCACACACACACATTTATATAATCAGCAAATAAATCTATAACAGCAAATATATGTCTTTGTGTATCAGCCTGTACAAAACATCATAGTAAAACATTTATTTATATTAACATTTGTTTATTTATTTCCTTTTTTTTTTTTGGTGTCTGTTTCTGTGTCTGTGTGTCATATAACAAAATGTTGTCTGGTTGAATTATACTGACATTAAGAGATAAAACAGCTTTCAGATTTAAGTGACCAAAAAATAATGTTTAGAACCTGTGACCTAAACAAAACGTAAACATATTTTACTTTAAAAATGCTATGCATTAAAATAATTTTCGACAGCTGTTTTACATCAGTTAGATACCCTTCACCAGCATCTTACACACTAAGTTAATAAAAAAATGACATTATCACAGAGAATTATTAAAATGTTTCAAATAATAATATAATAATAATAATAATAGTAATGATAATAATAATAAAAAAAAACTCCAGATGTGGATAAAAATGTAGTCAAGTACATGTACAGTAAGAAGCTCTCGAAGAGATCTGTCTAGCAGGAACTGCATGTATGTTAACTGCAAAATGCTTTAGGCCTGTTTCAATAAATGATTTGACTGCTTAAAGTAGTCAACATTGGAAGTTGATCAAAAATATATATTTTTTAAAGAATGGGTGTTGTTTAATAGTTTCAGTACATCTTTATGTACCAAAAATGATTAGATTCTCTTAACATGTTGACTGTCTACAAGAACTGTTTAATATTTTTATACTAAAATCACCCAAAACCACGTTAAGATTTGTTTATGGCAGAAAACTCACCTTTCGTTGCCGCTTCCATGTCTACAATTTCTCCAGCAAGATATACCGTTTATGTCCACAAACTCACATGTAATTATCATTTAAGTCTTTTTTCATACTGACAAATGTCGGGAGCGATTATCCAAACAGGTCACGCATGCTGCACTAAAAATAAAGAATGTAATTTGAAGACATAGTTAAAATAACTGGTTCAGAAACCAGAGCATTGACAAAGGTACTGCAATATTCAATATGTAACCCGTATTAATGAAAGCAAATGTACAAATCTATTCTCATGTAGCTGCAGTCATGGCTGTAGTAAGCCAAGTAATTCAGGATTAACTCGTGTGAGCCGGTTAAAGGGGATGATTGTGCTGAAACCTTTCAAATGGGAGGTGGAGACAATGAAAAATCTGTGAGCTTGAAACATGTTAAACAAAGTTGTTTCAAGTAATCAAAATGGCACGTTTTTTTTTTTAAATACACAAGTGGGATCCTTTGCTAAGCCAGCTTAGTTTTCCATATGGGCCTATCAGTGCTTCCATACAATTGTAGAATTACAGAACCATAAAAGGATCCCTTAATAAAATAAAAAAAACACTGCCATTTTGTTTTTACTTAAAACTGCAATTTGTAAAATAAATACAGTTCTTTGGACAATTAAAAAAACTGTATTATTTAATTATATTGCAAAATTACTGAAATACAATTGTACTATAATATAATTGTACTACAACCAATTCAATACTAATACTACAGTATAGTTAGTTGCAGTAGAATTACAGTATAACTGTAATACAAAAAAAGTACTTCTATGATTTTATTTAAATCATTAAAGATTAATTATTCATTCATTCATTTTCTTGACGGCTTAGTCCCTTTATTAATCCAGGGTCGCCACAGTGGAATGAACCGCCAACTTATCCAGCAAGTTTTTACGCAGCGGATGCCCTTCCAGCCACAACCCATCTCTGGGGAAAAAATTAATTATACAAATAGATATATTATTTTGGAAAGGACAATATATATACTGTCTTCCCCATACACAACATCTTGATTTTCTGTTGTTGACTGTAATGACATGCATTTTTTTAAAAGTAGCTTTGGAACATTACTTATGCTATTCACTGTGCATGATAAAAGCCTGAATTGAATTAAATAATACAAATGCATTATTATTATTGCAATACAGCTTAAATACTACCACGATACATCTGCAGTATTACTGTATTAGAGCTCCAATACTACAATACATAAAACTATAGTACAGTTTTAATACCACTGAAGTGCAATTAAGTGATATACAATACCCTTAAAATTCAACCCGAATATTGAAAATAGACAACTTTTATTTTAACACAATTTATCTCAGTGATTTTAATAATAAGTGCTGCATCACTAATGTAATAAAATATGTCTATAGTAAGGGTGTCACGATCCTCTAAATCCTCGATTCGATTACATTTTTGATTCTAAAGTCACGATTCGATTCGATTATGAATAATTAATTAATTAATAACGAATTAATTATTTGTAGCCTACCGTTTAAACTACCTGACTTGCATGGTCTTTGTTTTACCCATAAACAAATCATACAGTAAATGAATAAAGGCAAGTTACACACATAATTACCACCTGTCAATCACTTTTTTCTGCAGGACTAGTGAATAGGCAGTGATCTGTGTCGTTATAATGGCATCGGTAAAAAAGGTGCACAACCAACAGGAACCAGCCAACAGTATCTGAGGTGTTCGCTAAGTACTTGTGTGAAAGTAAAAGATGGAAGCAGTCTACTGACCCGCTGACTGCCTTGACCCGCTGTCTCGAGCGCATGACAATGTGTGTGCGTCTGTGTCTGTGTGTGAATGAGTGTGTGTGGTCACGTGATGTGCGTTTTTTAGCAGTAGTGAGGAAGGAGGGCTGCTCAGAAATGCTACACGCCAGTGTGAATGTGGATCGTTGTCGTTCTAAAATGCCATTTAAAAACAAAGACATATTAGTGCAAACAGGGCCCGAGTGTGTACTTTTCGCGAGCTGATTTGCAAAGGGTGCGGGGCCGAGGATCGCGATGCTCCCATCGTCTATCATCCCAACCGTAATACGTACATAGCAGAGCTTGCAAACTGTGTTTTTTTTTTTTGTCGACAACACGAATGTTGTCAACATAACTAACTGGAAATCCAAAATACTTCCACACCGGCGACTTCATTGAAAGAGGAGAGGATTTAAGCTCTGTCGACGGGTCTCCTGCATCTGCAGTTTAACAAGCACTTCAACAAGCCTGTTTTTTTCTTGCTTGGCAAGCCAAGCTAATGTGATATGGGGGCGTGGCAGCATCCACGATTCTATTTTTTGATTCGATAATCGAAGTTGAGCATAAATTGAAAGGCCAATTGAGTCACTTTTTACCACTACCTGTACCAAAGTTGAATCCACATCCACACATACACTCATACACTACGGACAATTTAGCCTAGTCAATTCACCTGTACTGCATGTCTTTGGACTGTGGGGGAAACCGAAGTACCCGGAGGAAACCCACGCGAACGCAGGGAGAACATGCAAACTCCACATAGAAACGCTAACTGAGCCGAGGATCGAACCAGCGACCTTCTTGCTGTGAGGCAAACGTGCTACCCACTGCGTCGCCTTAGTCTGAAACAATAAGCTCTAAACAATATTCCCTAATACATATATAATTCTCTCTCTCTCTCTCTCTCTCTCTCTATACATATATATATATATATATATATATATATATATATATATATATATATATATATATATATATATATATATATATTAGGGCTGGGCGATTTAGCAAAAAAAAAAAATCTAGGTTTTTTATAAAGTTTGACCGATTCACGATTTCGATTTTTTTTTTTATTGTGTCACTAGTCTTCTCAAAACATTACAACAACATGACTGAAGTAAAATTCTCTTTAAAAGTAACTTGAAAAACCATCTGGTTAAAGAACATTGTATTTTTAATGGCCATGTCATATAAAAATCGGTCAAGATGTAAATAAATGTAAAACAAATTCACGAGTTAAATATTGTTGCTGAAGATCTGAATAAGATATATTTGTGTAAATATTGCACTTGCAGGAATACAGAGGTATTTTTGCAAGTTTTGCCGAGCCTAGGAAAGATTGGCTGTCAGCTCAGCTTTGACTTTGTCTTCTGATTGAATGACAGGTTGTAATGCTGCTGCCTTTTCTTAAAAAGATACAGTGGAAGAAATGGACTGAACAAGGTAACAAACTTTACAGCCTAATTTAACCCAATGTGTGAAGTTGGGGACGTTTAGTAGGAGCAAATACAAGCACCAAATGTCTCAAATATAAAATAATATATTAAATCTATTTTTCTTATTTCCCCCTTTAAAATACCGATCATTTGATGCGCTTTGCTCCACTCTCTATTATGCTGCCTGATCTGTCTGGTTTTCAATTAGGTCCGCTAAATGACGTCATGGGGGCGGGTACTTTAATTTTCACTGCTACAGTCCCTCACCTCTGCCCGTGTTCAAACTAAAAGATTGGCGCGGTTTTTCACATGGCAGGCTTTTACGTCCTTCATACATGTTGAGATCGAGTTTATCGACTTGATGAGGGAATATGTCTTGACAATCCACACAGACGTGCAACAAGTAAAATTCTACATGACTTCACGCTTTAACAGGCAGTCAAGCAGGTCGCACAACAGAAGCGCCGCGACACGGCGCGTAGATGAAAGTTTAAACTATCACACACCAAACGCGCACATTCACATGATATTTAACATGAAACTAATCAGATGGCGCTCTGTGGGCCAGCTGAAATATAAACTGCTTCATGAATCGTGGCTGGGCGGCGCTGGTGTGTGTATAGAAACCTGTTTAGAATTCTAAAATCCATGGCATGGTGCTGTGCGGCGCGTTGCCGAGAGGCGCTTCTGGTGTGCTTCCTGCTTCATACAGAGAGTGAACCCAAGCGCATTGGTGCCATTATAATGTATTAAATATATATATATTTTTAAAAATCGCGATTTCTCGATTTCATTCAAAATTAAATAATCTTAAAACGTAAATTCGAATTAATCGGAAAAATCGCCCAGCCCTAATATATATATATATATATATATATATATATATATATATATATATATATATATATATATATATATATATATATATATATATAAATATATATAAAATATAAATATAAATATACAAACACACACACACACACACATATATAACTTTCAAGCTAATATATAAAAACATATACTGTATAGCTATGAATAAATTAGGTAGAGCACTTATTATTGTGAGTTTCTCTGCATTTATAGATATATGATAGTTTAAATAAAAAAATATTGTTTAAACTACGAATGGCATTTCAACAAAATATAAAATAAAGACTCATTTTGAACTGGATTGTAATTTATTAAATGAAATTAAATGCAATTTTTATTCAATTTCAAAACAAAATTTTATTTTAAAATCTTTTAAGATTTGTTTAGATTTATTTCAATATAAAGTAAGTAATCAAATTTGAAAGAATAATAAAGTGTAGTGGTAGTGTAGACTTGGCTGACATCGCAGACCACACTGCTGTATTGTATAAAATCTGTAAGAAAAAATATTTTTTAGATAAATTATTAAATATATAATATTTACTCCATAGCTGAGAGTAACAATTTTCAATTTCCAGCACAACATATTTGTCATTTGTTTGTATGCAACATGACAATAAATACATAAATAAGAGTATTTAACATCAAAATTATACTGCAATATATAAATTTACAATATATCTAAATTATTCAAAAATTATGTTACCATCCTGGATGACTGCCCTCGAAAAGTGAAGCTGAAGATGAGTTTCCAATTTGATTTCCCTTGAGGGTTTATCCGTTTGTTAGGGTTGTATAAGTTTTAAGTGCAGAATGGACAGTGGTAGAGGGAACAAACAGCACATGTTGCATTTGTTCACCGATGTTAATCTCTGATCGCTCCATATTGATGGATTTTCTACAACAATATGAATAACATGAAAAGAAAGAGAAGATAGGTGTTTACAAGTTCAAGAGAGATTTTCATTTTCTTAAATAGACCAGCAGCTGAAAACAAATTAATGAAGAAGTGAAGAAAAACACACTTTAGTGAAGAGTAAGTTAAAGAGGACACAGTAATGAAACAGTATAACTGCTCACTCACTTTAGCTTTTCTGTGATTTGTTTTCTATTACAATATTTACAAAAAGAAACCCAAACATTACCACAAAACACTGATTAATCAAACAAATAAAAAAGAATAAAAAGCAAACATATAAATTATTTAATTTTAATAATAACGTTAATATATATATATATATATATATAAATAATAATAACGTACACTTCCAATCATAATTGAGATTAAGTTAGTTAAAAATAAAATGTAATTAGATCTTTGAATATATTGTAAGATCATTTATAGATTGTTTTGTGATTGTTGGGTCAATTACTGATAATGAATGTTTTGTTTGCTTAATATAATCGCTCATATAATATTAATTAATGAATTAATTTAGCTTTTTAGTAAGTGTGCAGTTAAATTCTCTTTTGGAGAGTTACATACATTATAATGTTGCTGCAAAATGCATTATTCATATATTATTAAATTATTAATCAATTATTAAAAATAAAAAAACATTAGAACAGGCTAGAAAAATGTCCAAAGATGAAACCTCAGCATTATAACCCAGCCTTGAGCAGTTGGAAACTTCTGGAAACTACATGCTACAAAGAATACTTCATCGGCCGTTAATTAAAGGAAGGATCAGTAAAGAGTACTGATGGACATGTCAGGACATGGATCGGTTTCTTCCTCCATTTCTTAAGTGCAAGTACGTGCGATTAAAGTTGTTGCCTCGTTTACTCCACTGCAAAAAATGCTTTTCTTGCTTAGATTTTTTGTCTTGTTTCTAGTCCAAATATCTAAAAATTCCTAAATCAAGAAGAATTTTCTAAACAAGTAAAACATATTGCCTTGTTTTGAGAATTAATATGCCAATATTAATTGAGTTTTTCCTTAAAACAAGCAAAATAATCTGCCAATGGGGTAAGCAAAATAATCTTTCGTCAAAAGAAAAAAACTAGATTAATTTGCTTACCCCATTGGCTAATTATTTTGCTTGTTTTAAGGAAAAACTCACTTAATATTGGAATATTATTTCTCAAAACAAGACAATATGTTTTGCTTGCCTAGAAAATGCTTCTTGATATAAGAAATTTTAGATATTTAGACTAGAAACAAGACAAAAAATCTAAGCAAGACAAGCATTTTTTGCAGTGTCTAGATTGCAAATGTATTTAGTTGTGATTTGTTACATATAACTGCATGTACTGTATCAGGTTAACTCGCTATATTCTCATATTGCGCTAAAAGTCACGTTAAAAACGCGAAGCGTGCCGCTTTGTTTACGTTCCGTGGAGGAGGGTAATGTGTGTGTGTGTGTTGCCGTCCGGAGGAGGGTTATGTGTGTGTGTGTGTGTGTGTGTGTGTGTGTGTGTGCGCGTTTGTGCGCACGTTGTTGTCCGGAGGATGGTTATGTGTGTGTGTTTGTGTGTGTGCGCGCGCATTGTCATTCGGAGGAGGGTTATGTGTGTGTTTGTGCGCGTACGTTGTCGTCTGGAGGAGGGTTATGTGTGTGTGTGTGTGTGTGTGTGTGTGTGCGTGTGTGCGCGTGTCTGTAAAAAGAGCAAAGTGTGACAAGCTAGGAGATCTCCTCGCCAGTTCTAGAGTTTTTGTTCAATAAAATAGTTAGTCGTCTGTATTTACATTCACCCACTGGCAGCTAAAATCCACACTTACACTATCAAGCGTGTATGCACCGTGACTACTTTTCTATTGTTGATTAGCTGCTGGGCATTTCACTCTGTCTCTCGCTGAAGGCAGTCAGTGTCGACCAATCGCAAAAGACTGTCATCGGTCCAATCAGCGCAGATTACCTTTGCGCTAAGGAGGGGTTTTTGAACAAATGAATCACTGGACGATTCATATGGGAGTCGCTGGGATAATTAGGTGAAAATAAATGCAGATTATAAAAATATGAAAGTGTTTTTTGACCTTGCATGCATATTAGACTGTTGTTGGAGACCCTTACAACCAAAATATGACCCGATTTCATGTATAATATGGGCTCTTTAAGATTGTGGTGGGCCTATAGTGGGTAGGCCTATTTTTTAAAGTAAATTATTTGTTCATTTTGTTGAAAATGCTTTTTGAGCATTTCATAACATTCTGAATGGCTGGAGAGTTATCACAGCAGCGTGTGGCAAAAAAAAAAAAAAAAGATGTTTAAAAAAAGTTTCTTACCGAGGAGGCTGCGTGTATGATTGACTAGTGTTTGAAGATTAGGGGATGAGCAGGCTGGAACCTCACACGCAGATGGTTCTTCTTGTACATTACACACAGACGGAGGTGGTGTTGGGGCATTCAGTGGTGACTGAGAATGAAATTCTTTTGAAGAGTTTCCTGATCAATACTGTCTGTGAATGTTAACGCATGCAGTCCAGTTTAAATCGTTTGAAATGCTACTAATAGTTAGCTTTTAATTATTATAAGCAATTATAAATTATAATTTTATTATTACTAAAAAATACTAACATTAGCTAATACGTTACACAGTAGTTGTTAGTAAACTTACCCCCCACAAACGATTCAGCTGTGAAAATGACAGCGAGGAGTCAAGCACACCTCCATTTCTCATGGCTGGGCAGCATCCTAAAACTCTTGTCTAATGCGTCGTAATATCAATCTATTTTTCTTGAAGCCCCACTTTTGCTGTTATCCTTTTGAAAGTGATATATCCATGTTTAAGCTTTTTAATTTTTTCCCGGTGTAGCCAGTAGGGAAGAGGAATGTTTATTTTAATGATAATATTTGTGAATGAACTTCCCAAAACAAAAAAAAACTATTAATTTATGTATTAAATGCCTACCGGGCATAGGAACCTTATTTCGGCATTTGTTTAAGTGGGGCCGCAATTAGTGTTGCACGCTTTGCTCTCCGGAGAGTTGCGTCAGCCTCAGTTGGAGTCCAGACGCTGACGGGGAAAGACATGCAATATGGGAGTAGTAGGTAATGAAGAGGCAGACCAACTTGCAAAGGAAGCATTACAACATAATCAAATAGAAATAAAAATAAGTCAGAGGTAAAAAGAAAAAAACATAATTGTAAAAGAAACAGGTAGAATGTGGCAAAGGGAGTGGGATAATGGAGAAAAAGGCAGACATATGCATAATATTCAAGGATGTGTGGGTGGTACTAGAAATAAGTTTGGTAATAGAAGGAATGATGTGGTGATAACTAGGTTGCGTGTTGGTCATTGTTTGCTAAACCAGTAAAAGTTTAGAATAGGGAAGCATGAGACAGGATGTTGTGATAAATGCGGGAAAATAGAAACATTAGAACATGTAATTACAGAATGTGTGGCATATGAAAATCAGAGATATCAATGAGTTCAAGGATTAAGCATTTATGGGATTAAAAATTTGTCATTTCAGACACTATTAGGAAACGGTTCAAATCAAGTTAAAATAATGCAATTAATTAATTACTTAAAGGAAACAAAATTGATTAATAGAATTTAAGAATAGCTTAGCAAAATAAGGAATTAAAATTTGATATGGTATTTAACTAGTATTTTTTTTCCTTTTTTTTTCTCCTCTCCTCCTACTCTTCTTCCTGTTCTCTCTTCCCTTTGGTAATCTCATCCCTCCATTCATATCATATATCTTTTGTACTCACTCCTATCCAGTAGGTGGCGGAAATGCACCATAAGTTGGTCTGCCAACCGCCATTAACCCCATAAGAAGAAGAAGAAGAAAGACATGCAAAAGTTTCTCCTGCACTTGTGTTCGTATTGGTATGTTTAATATAGTCTGTTCGATTTGAAGTTCATATAATGTTGCATAAAATATGTTTAGGATCGTTTTTATTCAGTCCGATTATAATATTGAGAAGATTCTGAGATTTATGTGAGTTTAAAGGAGGGGAAAGCGTGGAGAGAGTTTCTGATTGAGTGTCCCACATGTGTTTCAGGTATTTTTCATGTAAAACTGTTATTTGTGAATCTTTTTATGATGTTTTATCATTCTAATTGTTCTCAAAAATTAATAATTGACTATCTGAATCTAAATTGTGCTTTTATGTCATGGTATATTGCATGGTGAATAAGCCTAATTGTTTGAGAACATTATGTTCTGTTTTTTTTTTTTTGAGAATATAAAATTGATCTAATACTTTAAGTACAAATGTAAAGAGCAACACCACTTATTTTCTTTTTATTTTATTTAAACAAATACATGTTTTTTTTTTGTGATTATTATTGTACAATGTTAAACAGTCAGCCTCAGTCGGAGTCCAGACGCTGACGGGGAAAGACGTGCAAAAGTTTCTCCTGCACTTGTGTTCGTATTGTGTGTGTGAAAGGAGAGGAAAGCGTGGAGAGAGTTTCTGATTGAGTGTCCCACATGTGTTTCAGGGACCAATAAAAAGATGACGCAAAGCTGTCCTGCTGTTTCCGGTTTGATTGTTTGTTATGTACAGATTGGGATCTGCTACACCGGCACTGTTTGTAACTTTTTTTAAATACCTTTTTCTGCCAAGGACTGCTCTATTTTTAGAAAACCTTTTCGTTTTTTCTTTTTTACCTTCTTGATGTTGTATTTTTCTCTCTGCCCAAATATCAATCTGCGCAAATGTTTCCTCCACAGACCAAACTGTATCGGCATTATTTATTTTTTTATGTAAATTACAGCGTTGTCGTTTACTTGTCTGATGACTAGTGCGCTTCTGTTGAGCCAGCTGTGGTAGCTTGGCAACAGAGCCGCGATGACAACACACAGAATTTGTCGGCACAATTCCGAGAATGATTTGTAATCGTGCCGCACCGTTCCAGGCTCAGTGGAGAAACAACCATAACCGCACCGAAGTGTTCTAAGAACAGTTCGGCAGGATAGTGGAAAAGTGGCTAATGTGTGCAGTTTAGCAAAATATTGGTCAAAAGTCATGTCTTGTTTTTGGTCTGGTTTCAAATTTGTATCTTTCAAATGTGACAGTTTTGCTTGGTAAAAAGTGTTCCTCAAATTTTGTTATGAGAACAGTCAATGTTAAATTAGCTTCATCCAATTGAAAGCTATTGTATATATCCAGAGCATCCTCCCCCTTATGCAATCTCTCTCGGCTGTTTTCACAAACGGGTTGCGCTCTCTATGGATTGGGGTTCACTAAGTGTTTTCAAATTACCAACATCCTGGCATCCGCTAGTCTCCATTTCTGACACCACGTTGTGTTATTAACGCCACAGGACTGTTGTCTCTTGTGCAGACACTCACAAGTTGTCTTCAGGCACTGTCAAGCTGTCTGACATAACACACTGACATACCTCTGTGGTTCTTAATACATCTCTTTTTTTGTGTGAGCTGCCATGCAATAGCAACAAACCCTATCAGAGTTTAATGATGTTGTTAATCCAACATTGTCTGCTAAAAATGTTGCTAGGGCAGCATAAATATTCTGCTCAATCAATCCTACAGTTACCATGAACCAGGAGCGTCGCTAGAACCCATTTACTGTGGCATGTGTCCCAGTAAAGCTGTTATTTTGTAACATGCCAAATTTGAGTTAGATTTTACTTGATTTGTCAGTGTATTATCCATTCATTCATGGAACAGTTGAACATAACTAGTGGCGGGAACTGGAACAAAGGAGCACATGGTGAAGGTCACTTGAGGAAAACAAACACACGAGGGAGTCAGGTTGTGACAATGGTGTTTTGGATAATGCAACTTTATAGACTTTGCAGAGATCTTCCTTAGAACTGATGCTCATTATATGATGTCTTACTAAGGCCCTGCAGGTGGAGAAGGAAGAAAGGTGGAGCTGGGTAAACGGGGAAGCAGGGCAGAGTGAAAGTTTGGAGAAGGACAGGCATGGGATAACTGTAAGACAGGAAAGCCACACAGAAGAAGCTAAGAGAGAAATATACACAATGGCAGCACAGAACTTTAGACAGGGAGCAAGGCCAAAAAAACCTGTTTACAACACAGAGGGAACTATTAGTGATTTGGGGGAGATTTGTGAGCATTGTGGGCCAAAACAGGTTAAGCCAAGTATCCCCAGCAGTACTTTGAGTTAAAAAAACGATCTTTTAATCCAAACTGGATTGGAAGCTTTCTGTCGTTGGAATATTCTATATCCAGAGATACACCTTTTTGTTTTTCATATAGGATGTTTTGCAAAATTCTGAAACATGACACCTTTGTTACCACTGGCCTACAAAATTAGAAAAAAAATCTCTAGATTTCTTTAGGGAGCATAAGAAAACACCTGCCTTAAAAAGCATGCTGTCTTGGTACAGCTTTAAAGCCAGTGCTGATCATGGCAGTGTATTTGAACAACTGCACTCAGCAAATGAGGCAGAAATCAAAGACAGAAGAGAGTACCTCACCCGTATTGTGGCTGTAACACAATTTCTGGCAAAACAAAGCATACCCTTCCATGGTAATGATGAGGGAGACTTCAGCCCTGAGGAAACTTTTTGGAATGTATGAATCTTCTAAAGCAGTTTGACCCTATTTTGCAGTCTTAGGGTGCTTTCACATCTGTAGTTCGCTTCATTTGGTCCGGACCAAGCGCAACAAATGATACATTGTTGCATCTTCTGCCATCTTTGGGTCGTTTTCACACCACACTGCTGGCTTTGGTCCGAACCAGTTGAAACGAACCAAAATGCAGTCATCTGACAAAATCCACATTTCTCATTGGCCAGATGTTGTTGAACATATTTCCTAAACTGCTTATTGATTGGTCAGAATTCACGTGCGGGAAGATGCCAGTGAACTCCCGCAGGTAAACAAAACCTTTTACTCTAGAGGGACGACTGCGCTGGCTGATTGTATGCCTGCTTTAGACAAACTATACATTACGAAAATGAAGCGCGGCCGCGGCTGGAAAACTGTGTCTAATGCATTGCTCGTCACTTCAGGAGACGTGAATTAATTTAGCTAAACTGCGACATGGTCATCTTGCGGAAATGTTACCAACGATCCATCAGGTAATGTTTTCCCCTCTCTCTCTCTCTCTCTCTCTCTCTGTTGGTAAAGCGCTGTAAACAAATATTTTTACTCCATATCCCATAATGCACAGCGCATCGGCCTACAGCAGCTGAATTAGTCCAAAACGCGCAGTACTTTTTGCGTTTGGACCTGTTTTAGTACGGATCATATTCTCACTACAAACGAACTGCTTCAGGGTTCGTTTGAAAGCGTACCGAGACCACCTCTACAAGCAGGTCTCGGTACGCTTGTTTGGTCTGCTTTTGGTGCGCACTCGAGTACGATTGCTGCATTCTCACCTGCCCAAACGAACCGTACCAAAAGGGGAAACGAACTCTAGTGCGATTCAATCGAACTAAATAAAGCAGGTGTGAAAGCACACTTATTCAGCCCGTTCACACAGTACGTACTTGTCACCTTGAACTCAAAATGAATAATTGAGTGCTGTGCTGAAGAAGTTACAGCAAATATTGTCAGGGAGGTTAAAAGGAGAGCGTGTACTCATTTATCACTGTTTCACTACCAAGCCACCAACTATTCAAAGATGTTCCAAATAAGTTGGGGTTACAGCCATCTGAACTTGTTTAAGTTTTCAAGACCCGCTGGTTAAGCCAGTTGCGGTCTGTAAATTCCATCTTACAAAACCTGCCTGCCTCTCCAGTGTTTTTCTGGCATCAACAACTCCATGACAGTAAGACTCCATGCCAAACCCTGCTAAAAAAATCCAGCTTAAACCAGCCTAGGCTGGTTGGCTGGTTTTAGCTGGTCAACCAGGCTGGTTTTAGAGGGGTTTTGGCCATTTCCAGGCTGTTTTCCAGCCATTTCCAGCCTGGTCTTAGCTGTTCAGGCTGGGAGATGACCAGCTAAAACCAGCTTGACCAGCTTAGCCAGGCTGGGAGCCCAGCCAAAACCAGCTATGTCCAGCTTAAACCAGTCTGGTCAAGCTGGTTTTAGCTTGATTTAGCTGGTTATTTTTTTCAGCCTGACCAGCTAAGACCAGGCTGGAAATGGCCAAAACCCCTCTAAAACCAGCCTGGTCAACCAGCCTAGGCTGGTTTAAGCTGGATTTTCCAGCAGGGAAACTCAGCAGATTCTCCACAATATCCAATGACAATTTTTTGTCTATAACTGAAAATCTTCACAAATACCTGCAAAGTGAAACAGTAGACCTTGCTATGGCTTTGGAGTACAAAATAGCTGTGTGTGACACTCTCAAGCAGATGCACACAGATGAGAAAGCAACTATGATTTATGATACTGTCAGTACCATTTGTGCAGCAAATCAGATCCCAGAGCCATGCACTGCTACTAAACAAAGCCAAAAACGCATAGATATGTAGGTAGTGAACTCAAGTTGTAGAGCAGTGAAGGACCTCAGTGGTTCAGAGAAGCTAAAAATTAACCCGTTTCTACCTTGCCTTGACAGAAAGGTGTTTGATGAAGCAACGATTTTTATTTCCTAATAGCAAAATATTTATAGGTGTTCTGGCCTGTAATCCTGTATTTAATAACTTTCTTTGTGATGCGAGGGATGGGGTGGAAGAGAAGAGGAACTAAAAAAAACTCAGATTTCAAAAAATCCTCCACAAATAGCAAATCAGACTACGCCACCTGAGAAATTTTCTCCCAGGAAATAAAACCCGACTCAAATATTGCTATTAGGCCACCAGGTTCACTTCTCATATGAATAGGCAAGAGACGCAAGTAAAGTATAAAAAGTACAAAATTTATTTTCATAATAATTTGTGCCAGATAAAATAGTCACATAGAATTCTCAAAACATTCTGCCGAAACCACCCTCCAACATAACTGCAGTAAATGGAATAAAAGATTTTTTTTTTCAAAAAACAAAACAAGATATTACAAAAGTAAATATGAAAATTTAATTAACCGGAGAAATAAGTTGGATAAACTAACTTACAGGGCTGAGGTCACACATAGGAGGGATCACAAGTGCTCCATTGTGTCCTAAAAGTACACTTCCACACACACACACCCCACACCTGCACACTAGATCCACACTCTCCACAGCAAATGACAAGTGTAGTGACACCACCACCTCAAGATCCTGCAAGAAAAAAAAATCAAAAGCAAATATATATGATATAGATTATACAAAAACAAACAAACCAAATTGAGATCAAAACACAAGAAACCAAACACAGCTCCCATAGTTTAGCTATAGAAAAGCAAGATTAGCACAGGGCACCCGAACACACACAACTCATCCAGAAGTCGCACACATAATCACACAAAAAGACAAAAAAAACAAACAAAGAGCAAATAACATAATAGCAACAATAGCAGCTAGCAGCAGGCCTGGATTGGCTAATCGGGAGGACCGGGAGAATTCCCGGTGGGCCGGTCTGTTTTTTGGCCGTGAGGGCCGGTGTCCCTAGCTGCTTGCACTCTCAGCAGTCACACTTTTTTCTTCTATTTATTTTTTTGACCATAGCTTTACTCTTTTTAATCATTATTTTACCGTAGTGCCGCTCTTATTATTTATTTTCTCGCAGCCCCATGAGAAAAATGCAGCCTGCAGGTTAACTAACGTTAATGATGATGATGTAATGCAACTATCGCCCCAAACAGCGGCACCTTAGTGAATATAAGAATTCGAATAAAATGAATAAAACACCTGCTCAATGAAAATCAAATGATTCACTACATTAATAAATCTGACATAACTTGATCAGAAATCTAAAAATAGGAGAAAAAGATTGAGCCATCAAAAGAAAGTAGTGCTGTGTCCTAAGTGTCGCAACTCATTAATTATTTTTTACTCCCACTGTAATAGCGCCAATGTGGTCCAGTGGTAAGCACATTACATTTCAATGGTATAGACCTGTGATCGAATCTCCCATGAAAAATCTTTTTTTTTCGATTTTATTGTTAAGACATAAAATACTGTTAGGGCTGTTGAACATTTGAATTTCTAAAGCAGCATTTTTCTTGAAAAAGACGTGATAGTGCCATTAGTAACTGAATTGGAATCAGTCGTGAACTGAGGTGGGCCGGTCTGGCTTGAAACTCCAGGGCTGAAAATGAGTCCCACTCCGGCCCTGGCTAGCAGTAGGAGATAATAGTAGCGGATAGCAGTAACTGTAGCAGCAGCAGTTAGAAGTAGCAGGTAGCTGCAACAGGTGACAGTAACTGTAGCAGCTAGCAATAGCAGATAGTAGTAGCAGGTAGCAGCAACAGGTGACAGTAGCAGCTAGCAGTAGTAGTACTTCTTTTCACTAGAGATCTCAGAATAAAACATTTTTTTTAAAACACAACAGGAATAAGGATGCTAGAGCTGCTCATATAAATCTCCCAGGACGAAGAGGGAGAATCCTACATGAGATACGCACATGCAATTGACAGGAAAACTAACAGAACTGGCTAGAATGAAACAACGACATTTAATCCACAAACGTTATTAAGGAGAGAGAAAGAGAGATCAGCGAAGAGCTAACTGCAAACACATACCTGAAACAGACATCAACAAACACAGACTGAGAAAGGCGGGGTTGAAGGGGACATCACCTAGCACAGCCAACCAGCTCTAAAATAGGCCACACTTGCCCCTGATTGCTTGGCTGTTACAAACGTCAATCACTACCACTTATCCTATAGACCAATTACCATGTTTGTAAACATTCAGGATGTGCGCGCATGGAGGTGGCAGAAAGCAACCGGGAGCGCCAGCGTTTACAGCGAGGGAATGACATCAGATGCGGTGCAGAGTTTGTTGTTGTCTTAGAAATAAGATATATTACTTACATATTACATATATTATTTACATAATGCTTACAGCATATTATAACAGCTCGTCACCCAGTGACAAGCACAGTCATTCAGCAAAATTAACGTTAAAGTGAGCGGCGTTCATCTGACAGCTCCATTTGCGATAGCTCCCTCCCAATGAATATTGGATAAGACCAAGTGACATCCAGCATCCAGCCCGAAATATACAATCTCAATGAAGCTCCGAGTGATTTTACAAGAGAGTTTAGGTCTACAAGTCTTTGGATGCCAACAATGTTGTTCTTTGAGGTCATGTGCAATAAATATTGCTCCATGATGACCAGATTCAAGAGCTAA